TACTTTATTTACTAGAACCCCCAAATCCAACCACCGGAGCCTAGTGCAGAAGGAGCACACTTAAGGCACAATTCCATGCATCTTTAAACAGAAAATAAAAGCCTTTTTATCTGTCCAAACATACAGCATTGAGTGCAGAGAATTACAGAATTCAGAGCATAGGAATTTCTTTTGAACATGAAAACATAACAGGTCCCAAAGGAACGCCACACGCAATCGTCCACCCAGCAATATAGTTCAAGCCAAGTAGATGTGAAATGGCGAGCCCTTTTGCTTCCGTGACTTTTGGGAATCTGAGAAAATTACCGGTCTACGTACTGCAGCACCCCCAGAGATCTGCTAGATCTTCCTTCTGCTCTCCCCTACAAGATACCTTCCTCACCATTCCCTCACCTAAAAGCCATGCCGTTCATACTCGGTGTCCTTTTCCTACAGCCTGTTGTCATGGCTGCAACACTCTGTGATGTCCCCATTCCGTACTTTGCCCTCACTTCTTTACAGGTGGGACTGTGGGGGAAGAAAATTACATCTGTAGCACCATCTCTTCAGTGGGCTCATTTTCTAGATAGGACGCCCCCTCCAGCTTTGCCCATGTGCACCATGCTTTTCCCGCGATGGCGGAAGGTGTCTCCTCTCTCAGCCAGGGGCTGCAGGGGACAACAAATGAAGTTCTCGGTGTCATGCTCTCCCTGCCTTGTTAGGGACAGATGCCAGTGTTTTGTGCATGAATAATTAAGCCTGCCTAGTTCCCAATTGCTTTGTAATATTAAAAACTAATTGCCACCAGCCCCTCTTGTCACTGCTACCTGATGAAATGTCCCTTTTATTGATCAGAGTTGCTCGCAACTGCCATTATTCAGCTGCCTCCAACAGCTTACAGGAGGCCTCGTTTGTCTTGATCATGGAACCGATCGTGTAGTTTTTGCCTGCTGGGAACTGTCCCTACTTACCCAAACCTGCAAAGAAGGAACAGCCTCAGATCCCAGGATGGTGCAGAAACGCCAGGCTTGGTGGCTGCCTCCTCTCTCCTGTATGCTTGCCACAGGAAGCAGCTGCCTTTGCATCTGTCTTTCATTTCCTACCTCGCCCACTGTGGGGATGGTTAAGTTTGTCACCCTACCCTGAGCAGGGTTCTTGTGCATTTTTACAGCTGCATGACGGACCTTTAATAGGAAAAGCTGCCCATACTGTGATCATGCAGAAAGGAGTAATATCTGCCTGTGGAATTACATTTTTCATGGAACACTTCAATGGGGCAGAAGCACCTCATCTTGTTTGTTTTAAGTAGCAATCCTCAGGGTTGGAAATGGAATCCTGCAACGTGTGTAGGATGTGGCCATGAAAAATGAGAAATTGTAGCAGTGCTGCAGCCTGGACGTTCACAAGAGGATGTTCAACCCATCCGTTAAGCTGTAGATATGTCAGCCCAGCTTCTCCTACCTGATCCTTTTGTTATCCTCTGTTCCCTGCATGCTACAGCGAGCAGATGTGATGCCACATGGGGGAAGGCAGGAAGGAAAAGTGTGAAAACAACAGGGCAGGAGAACAAACAGCTGGGGAAACTTGGGGCCACTCCATTTTTTGCACCTTCAGTTTTAAAGCTAACATGCCAATTTCTGGATTGTGGCCTGGAAACTGGCCTGCTGCTAATGAATGTAACGGGACCGTAGGTCACCAACCACGGTACCCAATCCATCCATGTGTGTGCGTGCACCGCAGACCTCCCAAGTCTTTCTGGAAAAGACAGTGATGGTTGTGATGATGTCAAGCAGAAATCTAGCCAACGGTGCATTTCTCTGCTTCACCAACAAGTGAAGCCCTGCCAAAGAAAGTGTTGACGGCCCCAGTCAGGATGTTTTCCCCTCTTTTCAGCCCAATTCTGCACATTTGCTCAGTATAGCATATACGACTATTGTATTCAATGGGGCATGATCAAAAGTTTGCACGGGACTGAAATGTTAATGGCCTTTCATTTAGAGAGAGTTACAGTGAGGGAGGTTTCCTAGCCGCAGCTGTCATCACTGCTGTGTGACTAGGAGCACTGGAGAATCTCTGCCGTCCTTTAAGCTGCCTTTCCCAGTGCAGTGTCCTCCAGATCATTCCCAACCAGCATAGCCATGGGAATCCTGGAGCAAGTGAATATGCAGCCACTGTATTTTCCCGCCCGTGTCCATTGTAGCTTCTCTTGCCCACTTTCCTCATCAGCCTGATCCTGGAAAGGAGTCCTGTTGGTGGATCAGAGCAGGGGACATTAAGGCTACATGGTCTCACAGTGGCCCAAGCTTTCATATTTAGGCAAATTCTCTGGATTGTGACCTGGCCAGTCTAGAGGAAGTCCAAAATAATGATTGCAATAGGTTCCATGTGATCCAGAATCTGGGCTCCAAGACAGAAGGTACCTGGAACCATGCCCTAAGAAGCCTTAAAAACAACTCTCTAGCTGGGATCAGAAACCCAAACTGCCTGTTAGATTCCATTCCTACAACCATTGTAAGGAGATCCTAATGCATGGTGAATGCATATCAAAGTACTGTGTGCTGGGAAAATTGTTCATATGAATCCATTGTTTATTGAACCCACAGCCAAAGAGTAAATGGCTAGGGATTGCAGAGGAAAAGTTGGTTTGCCTGAATTTTGTGTGGACAGAGAAAGGAAGTGTGCAGCAGAAAGGCAAGGCTTAAGTAGCGTCACTTGAGGGGAAGTAGCACTTGCCCTGTAATCTGCAAAAGCAGCAACATCAACCAGGCAGCAACCACTGCAAATTGTAATCCAGCATAAATTCGCCTCACAGGGAAGTGAGAAAGGAACTCTGTACCTCAAAATGATGGATGCAGTTGTAGAAGCACCGGGAAACGTGAATGCAAGAAAGTGTTCTGTCCTGTGCTATACAGCTACTAGGAGGCTCCTGTGCCTCTTAATAACTGTATGGCAAACAACTACCCAACAGGTGAGCATCAAGGAGGTGGGCATGAAATACAGAAAGGTTCTTGTTCAGAAACTCTACAGCAGGGTGGGCAGAGAATGGTCCTCCAGATACTTTGGACTTCAACTCCCAGTAATCCTGAACACTGGCGGGGTGTTTGAAAGCCAAAACATCTGGAGAGCTATATCTGTCCACCCCTACACTACATCAACCTTTCCCAACCTGGTAGAGTCCAGATGTTTTAGACCACAACTCAGCATTTCAGAATACTGGTCGTTCAGGTTGCGGCTGATAAAAGTTGAAGACCGAAACAAAGGGCACAAGGTTGGGAAGGGCTGTTCCACATGTGCTAAGAATAACTTCCTTCAAAAGCTCTAAACATAAAGGGTTTGGTTCAAATTTGAGGCCAGCTGGAAGATTGCGGGCCAAATGCTGCTACTTTCGATGCAGCAGTATTATTCAGAAAAGGGAAAACACCTTCTGTGCTATTCTGAAAGACATATGCTTTTGGCTATCCCCTCATCTTAAGTTAATAAAAATAGAAGGGGTAAAGAAACCCTGCTCTGGCAAACCTCACCCCCACTCTCTCTTTTGCAGGCTTTTTATTCATACGCATGGCTTGTTCCAAGGCTAGTATTTGGTGCAGGCTCCAGTTGATTGACCTCTGGGGATGCCCGACTAGCGTCATTTGCAGAAGAAGTGATTACTTAAAAGAAGTGGGAGATACATGTATAATAACGAGCTTTGCTTTCTGTGTCTCACATCCAGCTTCTAGCAGATGTGTGTACGTGGCAATCCCTAGATCAGGGACAGGTGGGACATGATCCATTGGCTGCACAGGGTGGCCCCTTGGGAGCTCATCAAAACTTTCTTCTCCTTTCCTACTTGGGACTGCAACAAGGGGTTGTCAAGCACATCAAGTCACAATGCAGGGCTGGCAGGAGGCATTCTGAGTGGGAAGGCACAAGCTGCTCGTGTCTGACCTGTGCCACATTACTAGAAGCATCCCTCAGAAACCGTTCCACTTATGTGCATTGCTTGGAACATCCGACCTTCCAATTCTCCTACTGTTACACTGCCAGCTACCTCAGTGATAGGAGTCCTTGCACATTCTTTGTGGTGTAGTTGTAACTTTTAATTTTTTGTGTAAAGATCCCATGCCATGTATTTGCTACCAAAAGTATCTGCCGAAGGACCACTCATGGAGGGACACATCAACTGTAGTATTTATATATCTGTGCACACAAATTAGGCACAGCCAGGTACATTCAGCTCCCGCCAGGGAGACAACTAAATGTCAGTGCTTTAATAGGCATGATCCACTAGAAACATCTCTAGTACAAGTCCCACTGAAATGAATTCAGACTTGTCCACAAGTGGGGGGATGTGATCTTGTGCCCATCTGATCCAGTCATGCCAATGGGACTTGCATAGAAAAGGCTCCTTTAAGGATCTCCTTCTGGATCCTGTGTGACAGGTCAGGTGGTTTCTGCCCATCGAAGTCCCAGGCAGCCGCCTAATACAAGGGCAGACCATTGATCCACCCATGTCAGCAGGGGTATTCCACAGCCTGGGCCAGGCGCTCTCCCCAGTCCTCCCTGAAGATGCAGGGACTGGACCAGGGGCAGTCTGCATGCCCGGCTGGTCTCTGCCACTGCGTTAGAGCCCCAGTTCCAAGCCAGGGTTATCCCCCAGCCCCGGATGGAGACCAGAATGCAAGATCCTGATTTTATAATAATATATATAATCTTCTCTTTAACAGTAGCATATTAACATCCGCAGACATTGTCAGAATAATTATCATTAGAATAACAATAATAATAATAATTAATAATAATAACAATAATAATAATAATAATAAAAAAGGTAGGAGGGGACGGGTGAGGCGAGTCTATAGTACACAGTCCTGTGAGGAGGTCAGCATAGTCTTTTGGAGTCTGTGCTGCCACATCGTTCAAGTGCCCCCTTCCATATTTACACACTTGCCTGGCGTCCACACCCCCAGCTAAGCTGGAGGGAAAACAGTGCATTGAACACAAAATAAAACCCAGCAAATAACCCTCCCCTCCCGCCCCCCCAAAACCTGCCTTTTTGTCTTGTTTGTTCCTTTTCCATAAAACTTCCCATCAGAAATACATTATTTACACATGAAATAAATAGAGCGGTAACCTGATTTGTGTTTGGCCTGCGGCAAACAGTCAGAGGTACTAGGGAAAGTATGGCTTGGATTCAAATCTGTACAGAGCCGTGTGGGGAGCCGGGATCAGCCTGCAACCCCGGGCATGGCAAAGCCGGGCACCTTGCATATTTCAGGGCCTTGCATCCAATTGCCAGGAAGCGGTACAAGGAGACTGGCCCCTTCCACCCTCCAAAGGCCCTCCTGCCCCCACCCCTGCCAGTTTCTGGCCCTGGGCAGTGGTTGTATCCCGCAGCCTCAGCACAGGATGGGCACACCATCTGCAGTCACAAGCCGGCCTGTGGTGGGGTCGTAACTCCCTGCCAGGTAGTAGAGGTCTTGCCGGTCCTGGTATTTCTTGCTGCGGGTGAGCTGCTCATAGTGTTCACGTTCAACCACCTGGCATTTGTGCGAGATGGTCTGGACATCATTCTCGTCCTCATGGCACGACTGGTACAGCGCATTCTGTGGGAAGGTCAGAGGTCAGACTATGGCACCCCGGTACTGAGTTGAGAGAACAGAACTGACAGGCTCGACTCTGGACTCTAGTACTAGAGGACGAGATGGTCTGCAAAGGCTAGAGTCAACCTGCAGGTGCTCAGCATCATGGAAAGTACATCACATCCTCCGTAACACTGCTTATGCTGGAGCTCGCCAGCATTCTCCTTCCGTAAGGCATGGCCTGTAGGGGCCCACAAACCTTCCCGCTCATGTTCCTCAGTACCGAGAGTACACTGCCTCCCATCCCAGCAGCAGCAAACAGCCCCCTGGACTTACAGCCACTGACAGTTGTCTTGAATTATTCCAGCCCCCCTTTAAAGCAATCCAAGTTCGTGGCTGTCACCACATCCTGTGATAGTAAATTCCATAGTTTAACTATGCCCTGTGGGAAGAAGTCCTCTCTTGTTCCGAGTTTGGTTTCATCAGATGACCCCCAGTTCAGCCATTATGAAAGGGAAGAGCAAAAACTCTCTCTGATTTAGGCACCCTAATTTTATATGCCTCTGTTGTGTGTGCCCTGCTGTTTTGACTGGGATGTCCAAATCCTGGAAAACTCCTCCCCAACACCCTCCCACAGTGGTTGTGTGAACCGATAAAATGGCAGCGAACATGGCCAGTGAGGCTTCCCAGATTGCTGCTTCTGATGGTTGCCTCATTTTCCTTCCAGCGCTTGTCAGACATACAGTTTACTCAGAAGTAATCCAACTGGGTTCAGTAGTGCTTAGTGGTTGCCACCTTCACATGGCTTCTAAGGCCGCTACTGAGGAGAAGTATATTATAGGAGAATATTCTAACAGACAGATAAAAATGCTATCTGCTAATTGCTCCCTTCCACATTCCTATAATTCAGGCTTGGCTGGTCTCACAGGATCCACTTTTATTTCTTACTGGAGTCACGTGCAAGCTAGTTATGCTGGGAGCAGAGCAACACAGTGGCAGTGCTTGACTACCCCGTGAGCACTGTATGGGGATGACCTGCACATCCCAGCACAAATCTAGAACTGCATTGTTATAAACCAGCCTTTCAGCAGCCTGACTGAGGAAGAGGGAAGTTTTGATGCTGCTGCTCTTGTGCTGTGAAGCAAGTGGGAGTCGGACAGGACCACCGGCACGCTGCTGAAAATCCTCCAGCGATCTGGCCAGAGATCCCCGTCCACGAGTACCTCAGCTCATCCTGCCCTGCCTCACTACTCCGAGTCCCTTGGCCCCAGCCCACCCCCAACTCTAGTCCTGCTTCTGACTTGGCCTCACCTACTTTCTGGCCCTACCACTCACCTTGCCATCACTATGTCGCTTGCCCAGCTTGGTCTCCTCAGGATGGTAGAACCATTTCACTTTGACAACCATGTTGCTGCCCCAGGATTCCCACATGCTCTCAATGCGGCCAATGTATGGCAGGTGTGGCCGGCCAGCTGACAGGAAAACGGCACAATCGCCGATGCGCAGAGTCTCCTTGCCCCGAACAATCGCCTTGTAGAACAATTTCCGTGCTTTCCCCTTCATGCCACGACGCTGCAGGGAAGGGACAGGGCATGCTAATTCAGAGGAAAGAGAGGCTTGCATGACACACGGGGTCCCCCTTCCTCCTGGCTGCAAGGCCCCTGGATGTTACTCAAGGGATTTTGATTGTTGCCATGGAAACAAAGCTCCCTGAGTGTCAACAGCGGATTATGACCTCCAGTGCCTATAGCAACTGAGCTTACATGGGGGCCCACTCTGTGACAGAAGTAAGCTCCGCTCTGGAGAGAATCTCGTGTTTTGCTTGAAGAGGCCTGAGAGGGAATAACCAACAAACAGCACATGGGGTAACCGGATGCCTTTTCTAAATGTCCCCAAGTGGCTTAACGATATGGACTAGCCTAGCCATTGGCACACAGAACATGCCTGGTTCCTGACAGGCATAAGCAAGACTTCTGGTGTGCTAAGGTGTGAGAGCTGGTGCCCTTCAGAGCTGGATCTCTCTCTCATTCCACAGCCTTCACCCCTGGGAAAATGATGCATGGCAGGCTACTAATTAAGAAACTACTGCTAGAATCCCACAACTGCAGAAATGTTTACTGAATCTGGAACGCTGAAGGCCAGCTAGTAAGACACAGGCCGTGCTTGGACAACCACATCTCAGCTTAGGAAATCAAGATACAGTGAGCCCCGAGCCCCCCACACAGTCATTTTGCTCCTGCCTTCATATGGGCAACTGGATCTGCTAGGAAGATCTCAGTCCATCATCGTTTCCTCTTATCTCCAAATCAGAAAGGGATGGCTTCAGAACAAGCCAAGACATGAAGCCATGACTGACGTTAACCACCCACTGTGGTTTGTTTTGAAGCCGTTAAGCATAGTTTCCTAGTTCACCTAGTGGGAAGCTATAGTTGAGATGTCCTATTTATTTCCTGGCCCATACAAAGGGAGGAGCAATATGACTGCTTGCAGGGACTTATGGGAACGCATTTGTTCATTTGTCCTCTCATGCACTTGTATCATCTTTTTGAACATGGTCATAGAAACTTTGGCAAGTCTCTCCCTTCAGTGTCCACCAGTTCACTGCAGCAGGCTTCAGTCCAAACTTGGTGATGCTCAAGTAGTCCTCGCAGCTCTTTTGCAGCCCAATTCTGAGCCTATTTACGTGCTCAGCAAGTTCTATTCCCTTGAGCAAGCATGGCCAAGATTGCATCATTAGCATTCTGAGTAGTTAAAGGCTGATGTGAAAACAGGAATTCACAGGTTGCTTGTCACAGGCTAGAGAAAGGGAAACGCGCTCCTTCCGTACTGGTCAGTGACAGGAAGCCAATCTGAAGAGGGGAGGAAGCTTCCCAAGTTTAGCCTGTCCTCCTGTCAAAAGTCACAGAACGTCTGGGATCAATAACCACACATATGAATCCCTTCCTTCCAGCACTTCCTCCTAGCACTGCCACAGCAGCTCATGCCAAAAAGTTCTGAAACCACCTTCGGCAATATACTTCTACCAAGCAGGCAAGATAAACAAAACTCTCCTTATGAAATTTCTTGCCATTTCACCCTGAATACAATCCCAAGAGCTCAGATCAACTTCCTTTCCTTTCCCATACCTGAGTGGGATTTCCAGACCATTTCCAGAGCTGGCGTGCTGGCAGGAAAGCAGAGATCTTTGGCCGGTTTTCCACCGAGGGCAGCCGCTGCCGGCGGGAGAACTCTTTGGCTTTGGAGAAACTCAGGGCCTCCTTGCGCCTGAGCTTGCCCTTGGCACCAGCGCCAAAGCACCTCTGCAGGGTGCTGCTCTTCGAGCGCAGGGCTTCAGACTGAGCCAGCAGGGCTGGAACAGGATGCGTGAGGCAGGTCTGCACAAGCAAGGTGGGGTCCTCATCGTCAGAACTATAGGAGGAGTCCTCATTGTCCGATGAGCAGAGGCTAGAGGTGGAGCCTGAGCCCGAGCTGGAGGAGGTGGATGATCCAGAAGAAGATGAAGAGACGGAAAGGCGTGTCAGGAAGCGAGAGGGCACACTGCCTCTCAGATCATCCACCTCGTCTTCATCCATGTCCGAATAGGAACTGTGACAGTCACTGTCACAGTGCAGCCCATATTCTGCCTGACTGGCGTACTTGCGTAACGCCAGACCCATGGGCAGCGCACTCTTCTTCTCCTTGATCCCCAAGGCTGGGTGAGTGTAGCCATGGCCCGGCAATGACCCAAAGTCCTTGTCACTCATCAGCAGGGCCTTGCAGTTTTTGTTCTTGGGCGATGTCACGCCCTCATGGTCCAGCTTGACCAAGTACTCCCCACCCATCTTCCGGCGCCCTCCCTTGCCCACCTCAGCATCCAACCGCTCGGCCTTCTTGGCACGCAAGAGCTTCTGGGCACATGGCAGAACCAGGCCAGCGCTTCCAAAAGCCGAGTAGGAGTTGGCAATGCGGCTGAATGAGTCTGAGCCAAAGCCATTGCCAAAAATGGGGGCAGCGACGCTGTGCACAGGGAAGAGCACCTCCTTGGCCCGCAACTTCTTGCTGCTGCCGTTCAGCTGGAAGAGGTTCTGTCGCATAGCCGTGCTCTTGCTGGATGCCTTGCGCTTGTTCTGAGCCACAGCCGACCAGCTCAGCAGGGGGCTGGCACGACGGCCGAGGAAGTGGTCTGCAGGTAGGGCTTTTGTACTGGAGTGCAGTGTGTCAGATTTACCTGGCAAGAAAGGACAGGGTCAGCTGGGCTTCCCCATAAGAACATGGGAGGAGCCATACCAGATCAGAGCAACGGCCTCTCCAGCCCAACCTCGTCTCGTTCCCACAGCGGCCAGCCCTGTGTCCCAGTCTGCAGGGCATGTCTGCAGCAACTCCTCCACCCAGGTTTCTCAACAACTGGCATACCGGCAGCAATATACTAGTAGCCACTGATGGGCAGATCACAGCGGATAGAGCTACGTCTGTCCTGAAGCAACTGTTTCCATTTCTTGTGGTGAGAAACTCAACAAAGGGCCAAACAGATTGTATTGCTCATTGCTCGTCACTTCCCACTCCTGAAATTTTAGACTTGCTCCTCCCTTTGGTAATTCAGCCAGTTTTTTTCCTGGCTCTGCTCCAGCCTTCCCTGAACCTTCTATTCGGTTTTGAAGCGAAAGTTGCTACATCTCTGGAGCAAACATGGCAGACATATATAAAAAGTTGATATAATCTGGTTGCAGCCAGCCTTAAACCATGCACTGTGCATTCTGCAAACCTAATTAAATCTTGAGAGTTGAAAATAGTTCTCATACTCATTACATGGCAAAACAAACACATTAAAATAGGGTTAAAACAAACGGAAGGTCATATTTTGTCAAAATGTTTGTCAAAACCAGGAGAGTAATTTGTTTGTGGTTCACTGCAAAAGCACTGTAAAAATGTCATTTTGTCAGCACGATCCCTGATTGGCTAGGATCTCTCATGTGGCAAGTACATGAAGCATTAAGCTGACTATAAATGAGCTTCGCTTTTCCTTAGTGACATCAGCAAATAGCCAAGTCTGATTAGCTTCAGATTTGCCATATGATGTCATCATCACATCCAGTATATGGATCCTAATTGGCTAAGATAACCTGAGAAGGAATGTAAAAATAAAACAAGGCCACTGAAGTGGTAGCAAAGGGGGATGAGAAATGGTTTTACACAGCAAGGAAAAAGTCTGAGGTACAGTAAGACATTTGGTGCAGAGTTCACTAAGACTTGTTTACAACCCTACCCTACTTTATATCTAGGTCTATCCCCCTTGCCCTACTTTACTACTGTCCCTCAAGCCTGATCCATGCCTCCCGCTGTTCTTCATCAACGCTTTCTTCAGCCCACCTTCTATGGAGTCTTTTTAGCTTGAGGATTTCAGCACTGCTGGTTTAGCACAGAGAACAACCGTTTTCTCTGTGAGGTACTTGTCTTATTCTGAGCAGGACCCAGAGGAAGGGACTGGCTATGTCTGTCCATTTTGTAATGTTATATGTTGTCTGACTTTGCTCTGCTTGTGTGTGGCCATGTTATGTACTGTGTCTTCCGGTATTATTTTGGTTTCATACTCTATCTCGACAAGATTTTTGGAAATGAGGAGGTGGTTTTATTTGCTGTTACTTTGTTAGTTGATATTATCATGCAATGCTATATATTAAATGGAATACATTACTTGTCTTAAATTATTTCTGTACTTTTCCTTATAACTTACTTTCATTGATTTGGATTCTGATGGGATATATGTGGTGATATGAAGAGATCTAGTATGTGCATATTTTTCCATTTCTGAAGGTTGTGAGCTGCTTGGCTTATAGCAACACAGAAAGGCAGTTCAGAAATTAAAAGTGAAATGAAACCCTTGTCCAACTGCAACGCTTGCCAGGAGGCCTTGAGCAAGTCACACTCTTAATCTGGATACTGCCTTTCTATATTGTCACAGTCAAGGCACAGTTTAAGGTCCACAGAAACAACAACATGGACATACGATGGTCCTATCCTAGAGGGCCAGTATGTATAGCACTGGCTAGAGTAGCACTGCACTGGGACTCAGGAGATTCGGGTTCTGTTATCCACTTGGCCGTGTAGCTCTCAGCCTAGCTTACATCACAGGGTTGTAGTGAGGCTAAAAGGGAGGAGAGGGAGACCATATAAGCTGCCTTTGGTTTCTTGCAAAGCAGAGAAAGGTAATTAATACCCTCCCATCCTATCACAACCCAATCCAATGAAAAGTGTGACTACTCACATAATTTTTTGAAAAATGTAAGCAAGTAATGGAAAATGCAGTAATCCTACTGAACTTCACAGGGCTCCTGTGAGCATAAAATGGACTAGACCTTGAGCACTATGAAGGAAAGGGGGTTTGAGAGAGAAAGCACCTTACCAGCCTTTTCTTTGCTGGTTGCCTTCTTGCCAGTGTTTTTCGTTGACTCAGAGCCCTCACGTCCCTCGGCACATAGGCTTGGTGCTGATTCACTGGAATGAGGAACATCACTGGAAGACCTCTTGTTACGACGGCAGGAGGTGGAGACCAGCAGGGCAGGAGAAGGCTCTGTGCCTATAGCATCAGAAATGTAAGTGAGGCGTCTCACAGACCAATCCAGGTTAATGACGTCAGCTGAATCACAGGTTAATGAAGTCAGCCGAATCACAGTTTGGTGGCCTTTGCCTCACGTATTTTCTCTTCTGCCGGTATAGATGTGCCCCCCACCAAGAAAACCAAGGGACAACTAGGCAGAGTTCCTCTCAGATTGCAGTACACAGGACGTGGTGTTATTTTGTGCCGATGGAATAGGCACCATGACCCGAGCTGCAAGGAATTTCAAAAGGACCTCAGCACAAGGTGCAAGATAGGCACACCCAAGACACAGGTTGCTACAAGATTTTGTTCCTCAGCAGAGGCTAAGGATCTGCATGCCAGCATCCACTACCATAGCAAATTTCAGCCTGCCAAGGCAAAATAAAACATGAAACGTGGCAATTGCAAATCCCATCATCTGAGGGTGCTTACACTGGATTTTGAAGTCAGGTGGCAGCATGCGGATATTGGACACTGCAATGTGGCCTGTGTCCCCATCATCAAACTCTACCAGCACTGAATCTGCATCATCCTCTTCATCACTTGAAGAACCTGTGGAACAGAAGCTGTGCTAACTTCGGGAAGAGATGGCTCTCAAGCCCGCTCCATGGTAGGCTTGGGAGAAGCTCTGGCCTGCTGATGGGATCGCTGGCTTTATTTCTGACTGCTCCCTATCTTGGGATGGAAAAGCCCCTCTCACCTCGAATGACACTCCCTGGGTAGAGGCAACGAGACTTCTGGCTCCAATAAGCACAGACCCTGGTGCCAGGTGGGAGGCTGTGGCTTGACTGTGGCTGCACATCCAGAACCTGGAAAGGAACAAAGGGCCAGGGTTGGCAGGTGGCCCACCATGCTCTTAGCCAGGCATGGAGACATTGCCGACACTGTTGCTTAGCCAAGGGTGTGCGCATTTTATGTCAGCCTACAATGACAGGTGGTCAAGGTGAAGTCTGAATACCGCCCAGCAGAAACTGGTGGGAAAGGCTCTAGTATTCAGATGGCAGCATGTTTATGCCTTATGTGGTTATCTGCCCTTTCCTTGCATCCTGCCTAGACATCACTGAATGGTACCTTTTTTCCTCCTGTTCTCCAAACTGCAAATACTGAATGAACGCAAGCTGCGTGAAGCAGTGCCGAGTCCCAAAATCAGAAACACCACATACATTTACTGATTGGATTTGCACGGATTATGTTGGGCAAAAGATTCTTGTTTCCTTTGTGCAGCAGCAACCTCTTGGTCTTCAGCATTCTTCTCTGAGTATGTCTGACTAAAGCACAAGCATCAACTTAGGCTGCTTTTTCATAGCTCTGCTGAAAAGGGGAGCAGGAGCACCATGCTGCCAAAACATAGAGCTGCTCTCTCCATATGTCCCACTGAGCACCATGGTGCACAGTGGGTCATATGGGAGTGTATCTGGAAAAGGCAGGCATCCTGCCCCTGGGGATACTGCAGTACTGAAATGCAAGAAGCCAGCTGTGACTACAAAGCCCATTTTTGCCCTGAAATGAGCCATGCTGCCACTGAAGTTCCAGTATTCAGGAGGCAGTAACTCATAAAATATTCTTCTCCCTTGTATTCTGAGCCAGCGTGTGAGTGCATATTTGCATGGGAGACAAGCACTTTGTGCTCCTTGCCACACAGGTAAATCCCACAGGTGTTATTCCAAGCTTCCCTGCTCCCAGTTGTCTAAGCAGACCTGATTAATCACAGGCTTAGATCTGCAGGGACTCACCGCCTCCTGTAGCAGCTGCTCCTGGGAATAGATCCTTTGCCGGTTCCCTCGCTCCCCCTCAATGACGATGCTGTAACTACAGTAGGGCAAACGAATGACAGGGTTTTACACAACTGAAGATGTGGAAGCTGGAGGAGAACTCAGTGTGGCTGTGACAGATGTGAAATGGGATGCTCAGCACTTGGTTTGCTGAAGAGGGACAGCGCACCTGCCTAGGTGTACCAGGTGCGCACCATTTATTCTCAGCCCAAGACAGTATGGGGGAGTGCAAGTGTTCAATTTGCAGGTAGAAGGGGTGCATTTGGGAATGGAGAGAAAGATGCTATAATCCTTAGTAGCACAGTCCCATGTGTGCTTCCTTAGAAGTAAGTTTCACTGTGCTCAGTGGGGTTAATTCACATGTAACAATGTAGTCCTAATGCTTCTTTTCATGAAGCGCATTGTAAAATAAGTGAAATGCTTCATTTTAATGCAAGGCAGATCACTTATTATTCCCATTTTCTGGCTGGGTTGCCCAAGATCACACAAGTCTTTCACGTCAGAAGGTGACCACGAATGCAATCTCCCAGGGGAAACTCTTGATTTTCTAAACCATGTGGGCTCCTGCTACAGTGTGCTTTTGGGGGGGCACATTGTCAAGAATTAGGTTGGGAATTGGGTAGAGGTCACTGGCCACTCTGGAGTGGCCAAGTGGGGGTGGGCTCCTCCTTGGAACTGTGGTCAAGGGAACACAGCAATAGGTAGCTTCTAGGCTAGTTACTTTTAAGGAAAGGGTCTCCTGCAAGCAGAGGTTGCAAATGTCTTCAAGTGGGGGGCAGAAGTTAGGAAGAGGAAGGCATCGAGAGGAAAGTCCCACTGAGCAAAGCAAAAGAACTTACCACCCTCTTAAATACTGTCATTTCAGCTTTGTAAAAAGCTGCCCGCCTGCCCGCCCACCCTTAATCCTTTGCTTGTGTCTAGGCCTAAGAAACAGGATCCTTACATGTCGGGCGGCTGCAGACTCTTCACGCTCCCGGCATAAAGCAGACTGTCCTCTTTGGGGATAAGCACACGCAATCCATCCTGGAGATCCTCCTTGTGGATTGTGCATGACTGGGCTGCAATCACAAAGCAAGACTTGAACCCACAGCCCGCACTCACACTCTTCCTCACTTCCTTATGTCAGCAAACTTCTCAGAAGCGGGAGCTTTGGGCTTTGGCTCCCGAACATTGACACAAGCTCTTAGAAAAGGAGTGATCAGCCAGGCAGCAAGCACTGGCACCTGAAGGACAGCTCTGGACTCACACCATTTCTTCAGCCTCTGGAGCTTAGCTGGAATTGAAGGCTAAAGTGTGGGCTCTGCTCTGCTGCACCTTCTCGGAGTTTCTCCAGGCAAGCCTTTCCACTGCTCTAAGCTCTCTTGCACTGCCAGCCTTGCAGCCCAGAACTGCCCCATATGTCCGTTTTAGCTTCAGCAGCACCACCCGCCGCTCCATCTCTGGTGCTGCTCTGCATCGTTATCCCTCTGGTCCATCTCTCTTTGTCCTTGACCGCCATGCGATGTGGCTGTAGCACTTCTTGCCTACTGTACCAGCCCATGCACCCCCCAACTAACTTGCCAAACTGTGGTCTTGGGTGTGTGCCAAGACTCACCAGGGGTCAGGTCTTGCTCTGTGCCAGTGGGTGGCATTTCTTCCTCTTCAGAGAAGCTGCTGTTATCATCAAACTCAAAGTGATCCTCAATGGCAAAGCTCTCCATCAACCGGCTGACAGCCCGGCCTTTACACTTGAAAAACAAACGCAAAATGTGTCCTCTTGCTGCCCACAAGCACATGAGAAACAACTTGCCCCAGGTGCAAACAGATGGCACCAGGGTCTTCCATTTCCTGAACCAGGACTTAATTTGCAGCATCACACTGGCCCTGGCTCATCACTCCGGGAAGGGCACTCATATGAACTCGGCCTGGAAAGAAGACCTGCAGGGGCTCATCTGCCTGCATCCTTTATCCCTAGCTAAATACTCCAGGTTCCACCCTGCTTCATCTAGCAGATAAACTGATAGTTTCCAGGAGGGCTGGATCCTTCAGGGCTTCCTTTGAATATTCTGGAAGCCGTGCTTGCAGGGCCATATATATTCTGCTTTTCGAGGGTGGCAGAGGGTGCTGACTTACCTAGGCTGGGTACTGTAGGAGATGGATTGTTATCTCTTACCTGCTTGCTGACCGCCTTGTTCTTGACCTTAGACAGCTTCTTGCCCTTGCTGAGGATGGCTTTGGCATTGCGGGGCGAGAGCGCCAGTGTCCCGTTCTTCCTCTGCAAAGGAGAGAGAGGTAGAAAGTCAACCCATACGAAAAGGGCTGTGAATGACAGACTACGTGACAGGAAAAACCTCTGTGCTCCAAATGCCTCGCAGCAGCACCCACAAGGGCTAGTCTGCTTGGCAATGACACTGTCCTGGAGGAGCAGGCCTGCCCCAGCCATCCTGTCCGGTCCTTGTTCCAAGGACAGGATCCCTGCCGCCTGACTTCTCAAGAACATCTCCAGCCTTTTCTCCTCCTGCTGTGGCTCACCCTGAGGGCCGACTGCAGCACTTTGCTCTTGCGCGTGGCTTTCTTGAGGCGTTCACTGCTGAGCTTTCCAGCATCATCCCGGGCTGTGAATGTCCGGGCCTGGCTGCCAGGGAAGAGTCCCTCACTGGCTGTTGAGGTCCCAGGTCCACACTGAAGCTCCTTGGCCTTGTTCTTTAGCTTCTTCTTACTAGAACTTTCACAAGAGTTGGCCTGGCAGACCGGCACCTTTTCCAACCTCCCTACACCAGGCTTCGCTGGGCGCTGCTTGATTTTGACTTGGCCCTCAGGACTGGGGATTCGGCAAGGCCCTGAGTAGACATAAAAAGAGAAAGGGAATTAAATTAAGCCCAAAAAATCACAATCAAGCTAGTGCCTTCTTGGCCTACACAGGCTCATTGCTCAACAAGTATAACAGGAAGAAACCTGTGCAGAAGTACTCTTTGAAGCACAGCATTAGCAGCTTGTGGGGCCTTCCTCATGGCCTTGCCTGTTTGGGGGCTGTGGCTCAGTGGGCAAGAGCTGGACCTGGTCCTGGACCTTGCAGTTCACCCTGATGCTTATAACATGAGGATTCCCTGTAATTTAAGAATTGGGCCTACGTGGAACTTTTACAGCCACCCCTTTGCATCCATTCTCAGTCATGAGTCAGACATGATGATTTGGAAAGCTGGCGACTGTGAGGACCAGATACAGTACAAGTCATTTCCCCACCAGGCCTCAGTGTTCTGTTTTCACATCCCAACTTTACCTAGCAACCCCTGCCTCTCCTTTTTCTTCTTTGCCTTCTGATTAGCTTCCATTTTCACCACAGAGGAAGGAGAGGGGCCAATCACAGCCGAGTTTACTGTCACATGAAGAGTGGAACTGGTGTCACTGGTCAAGTCCTCACCACCACAGTCATCATCACTTTCATAGTCTCTGTGGTGATTGTCATCTGTGGAGCGAGAGGATGGTCAGCAGAAATTTAGCAGTGGGACAGGCCTACCTTTGATGCCTGTGGCCCCAGCTTCACAATGCACAAACTTCTTCCTCCATCAAGGAGCACCCAAACTGCCCACAGAGCTTTGGCTGTGGGGGTGGCAATAATAACCACCACCATCACCACCACCGCCATCCTGTTTCCCAGGCTCACCTCAGCATGCACTGAGAAGTAAGGCCTTAGAACAAGAAGACAGAACCTGTTCAGCCTAACAGCTAAATTCCATTTCAGAGAAACTCTTGGGGCCTGCACTGCAGTGGTGGATGGGGCAAAAGGGATGGCACAAAATACCCCAAATGTCAACATATGTTTGTGTAAAGCTCTCACGGCCATTAAGTTGGCTACAGGAGAGACATTTCGCCCTTTTCAAAGAGCAGGAGTATGGGGGAAACCCACAGAAGAGCAGAGAACCCTCAAACAGACTGCAATGGCTGAAGGGCCAGATTTACCCCATATCCAAGGTTCTGCGGTCCTGGTTTGGAGACAGTGCATAGTTCACAAAACATTTCACACTGGTGGATTTACAACCCCAATTCAGCCTTTGAGTTGCACGGCCTCTGTTTCACTGGCAGCATGCACCTTTCTTTTGGAATCTCTGCAGCACTCCATTGGCTTTGAGTACTGCTGTGAGGATTGAAAGTGTTAGCACTTGGTAAAGCTGCCTTGGCATGCTCATAATGGATAGGATGGTGGGCTAAACGGTTTTCCAGCAAACAGGCAAGCAAACAAACCAACAACTTGGAAAGTGTTTTGGCTGAGCCACTTTGTATCAACCCCACTGTCGAGCTGGCTGTGCACCCCCTTTCCGATCTTAGTTCCTACATCCTGGCTCTTGGCCCTTTGACAATGTGCCTTTGTTCTTTTGACTTTGGGGAGTGGAAGCAAGATTCCTGTCTCAGTCTTGGCTTCCTGATAAGATGCCCCAGGAGCTCCAAGGGAAACCTGTAAGGCTGCAGGCAAACGGGAGCGGACATTGGCCCCAGCAGAGGCCATCATGTGCAGCTATTTTTAAACTCCACAGCTTCCTCTGCTTGCCAGCAGGAAATACACTGTACGGCAAGCTCCTGGCCACAACTGAAGATAACAGCCTTGCTTGCAAGAAGATGGACTTGCCCACAAATGGCCTGGGTGAGACTAATTGTGCTAACCTTCCTCAGTGGTAAGGTGGAAGGACTGGTAGAGATTTTCACCTCGGGGCCCAGCAAACAGCCTACACACTATCCCTTTCCCCTGTGCAGATGGAGGTTATCAGGTGTCCCAAGCCCTGCGTGATCTTTCAGCAGAAATGGGCAGAAGAAGCACTGCTTCCCAAGAACCAATGCATCTCACCCTTCCACGGCAGTCAGTACCTGTATCAGCATTCCCTGTGCTTGGCTTGGCCTCCAACGTAGTGAAGTCCTGCTGTGGGTATTTGGCAGAAGGTGCGGCTTTGGAACTCTTGGGCCGAGAGAGTTTCTTTTGGATCTGGACCCCGGGGGTAGGCTCTTTTCGGCGGAACGGGCCAATGTTTGCAGGCAAGCCTTTGCTCTTGACCTTCTGCTTGAGATGGGAGACCCTGTGTACCACATTGGATGCCAACTTGCTTTGGGCACTGCTTTTCTTGCAACGCACCTTCTCCTGCAGAGCCAGGTTCAGTGTAGAAGCAAACGTGTTATTACTGCCGGAAATGCAAAGCATTCTCACTCTCTCGTGACCCCCACTTCCCTCCTGCTCAACTGTGGAACTCATCTGAGAATCAGGAAACTGGGAAAAGGTCTCACGCAGTTCCACCGCCAACAGTACTAAAGCTGGATTCCCCGAACTGAGACTAATGCTCTAAGCAAAGGGACTGCACTTTAAACCAACTGCTTTGCTGGCAGGGACATTTTATCCCATTGTCTTAATTAAACTTGCTGCCCTGCAATGTAAACCCAAGGCCTATTTTTTTCACTAATAAATAACTGTTACCTATTTCCTTTTATGGCAGTCTTTACATATTTGAAGACAATTACCAGCAACCCCTGGTCTTTTTAAGGCTCTTAAAAAGATTAAGCGCTATATAAATATATTAATTGAACAGTATAAAAATATCACTTGAGCCCTGCACACCCTATGTTTTGTTTTTAAAAGCCATTAAAATCCTGTACCAAGGCAACCCAGATTCAGAGAACTGTAAAACAAGATACTCAAATGGTACAACTGTGTGGATATTTGTTTATTTGGCATAATTTATTCTACTAGCTTTTGCGGGAGAAGAGCAGTCTAGCAAGATAACAGCAGGCTCAATATTCATCTTACATACGTAGATATAACATCCACCAATCCTGCTAGATTATTTCTTGGAGCGTAAAGCATCATGGCTAAAGTAGTGAATATCACCATCTGTTTGGCTTTAAAACAGGGACAGAAAATGGCTGCCCTTAGTTCCCATCAAGCCCAATTTGTTCACAGGGCTAGAGGGCTATTTCTTTTTTAGCTACAAGGTAGCCAAAAGGATAAAGAGGATGGCAGAGCTGGACTCACCTGGGAGCTCTTGATGCCACCATAAGCCGTCTCTGATATTTTCCTCTTTTTCTTCTTGGGCTCTCCCTCAGCCCGCAGCTCTGCACACAGGAGAGATAAGCTGGCCTTTACTGACCTGTGAATTGGGGGAAATTACTCAGTTAGGAGAATACCCAGTGGAAAGATACTCAGTACTTTCTTCGAAAAGGAGTGGAAACTGTGGGCTGATGAGATATAGGAGTGGAACACTTTGCAGAATTACGGCATGAATTTCATTGTTTTAAGCCAAGTACAAACTTCTAATGTAGGCCCTCCAACACAGAAACCCACCCTGTCTCATCCTATCCCATCTTGAGTTTTGTTCATCAACTTCTCTAGTTAGTATATTGCCTTAAGTAACACTGCAGAAAGGCCTTGTCTGTTTTGAAAAACAGGAGGACTGCTTTTGTTTCTTTTAAGTTTTCATGTTTCTGTTTGCCTGGTTTATATTTACAGCCAGATTTGGCGGTATGTATATGTTTGCATGTATGTGTAGCACATGCATGTGAGAAAGAGAGAGAGGGAGAGGGAGAGAGAGAATATAAAACAGCAGCACTGGCTCCAGCTATCCTTGGGATTATAGTCCCCAATTATCATGGTGATTTATCCCTCCCACCAGTGTTCCTCCTTTTCTACATACAAGGGATTTGGATCTGGTAGCTTTTGAGGGACCATGTCACAGAAGGAAGCGTAACACTCAAAGAACAGCCCGTAGTCCAACCGCACAATCGCAATCTGTTTTCTAGAGAAGGGCCTGGATCAGCAAGTTAGTGTTCAGACACGACTCTTCTATTGGAGCACTGTTTCTTATTGGCTCCCTGAAGTCTTACAAGACCTGGATAACAAGTATGTATACAGATACAAGGAAATAGATTTCTGTAAACTATCTTAAGCATGAGCTACAATTTAGCTTGAATGTTTTCTTTTCATTGTAGCAGGATTGTAGCAGGACTGCAGGATGTTCAGGCTGCTGTGTTTGCTCCCCTGCCCCGCGTTAAGCCCTGTGCAGAGCTTTCTTTGGAAGGCAGGAATTCTTAAGTGTGTGCTGAGCATGAACTGAGCATGTCCACTCATGTAACACTATGGTCCACTGCCTCCATTTTTGGTAGCTCCGTGCAGCATCAATTTGTAGAAAATGCCATTTACAAAATTGGTACTAGACCTCATGGCTGTATGCGAAAATGCGCTGGCAGAAGATTCTTGTTTTTCAGGGTAGGAGAATGTCTGTGGTTTATGCATTCACTTAGCCCTTTTCTCCATGTTTTCCCTATATATTCCTCAGCTACTTCCCACCTACTCATACTATTCTTCCATAAACTACCACAAAGATTCAAATATTTTGGGTTAGAAGGTCAACATACAACGTAACAAGTTTATGCAAAAGAAGCCTATTTGCATTAAAAATACTATCAGTTTTGCACAATTTATCCTGAACGGAAAATTGGTAATGCCTTGGTCCACAGGATCAGGGAGTTTCTTCTCTGAAAACAGTTATACCAGTGCCTCATTACAACCACTATATTCCCAAGGTGGCATTACATGAATGGATAGGTCTGGGCAGCTCCTGCTCTTCTGCTGAGGGCGCTGTCTCTGGGCTGGATGCTCACTGAGGGTCTTAAATGGCTCAGAGTGTTCCTTTTGCCTTCAGAGCTCCTCCTCCCATCCCTCTGGAGCAGGACAGCACAGCAGGAACTAGGTGCCAAGACATCTGGGTTCTATTGAACTCCACTGTTTCCTCAGGAAACAGCTTGGATGAGGACTGAATTGTGGTAGCTGTGCAGACCACGTTTCTCCCAACACATAGAAGGACTCATTTGCATTATGAGAAAAATGTCTGTCATTGCAATGGGCAGGGGTATTTAAAGTGGGGAGAGTGCTTACATGCTGCACTTTGTGGGTGATTTCTGTAGGCATCAACAAGATTTACACTTTCCTTGATCAGGATCGGATACTAGGCAGCTTACACATTCATTTTAATGGAAAATATTTCATATGATCATAATACAACTTGTGAAGTGTAAACAAAGTGCATACGTTGGAGAAAATTCACTCTTAACACACAGTCAAATCAGTTTCCAAATACTTTCCAAAGTAGGAAACATTTACATTCCTTCCTAAGGAGCAAGGAGACTTGGATGGAAGGGGGTCTGTTTCAGCTGTGCACTTCAAAGTGTAGCTTTCCTTTTCTGAAAAGGCCCTGCTCCTCGTCCTGACAAATTTCACCACCAGCACAGCAGGAACTTGAAGTAGAGCCTTTTCAATAGGCCCTAAAAGGCAGGAGGACTCCTATGGGGTGCTTCAGAGAAGCAGGAGAGGACTCAGCCAGGCAGTGAGGTGGGGAAGCAGCTGGAGCCCTTTGCAGGGAAGAGGCTGCCTGATACCTGCCTGTTGGATACATACTCCTGTGCATGCTTCACTGGAGGGAGAGGGCAGAGGAGAAGAGGCAGAATGTATCCCTCCCACATGTCCTGTGGCTGCTCTAGGAAAGGGAGGAGACATTCCTGGACTTTTCATGCCTTCCAGCAACATTCCGGAGTGGCTGCCACTTCTGCTGCAGCTCATTAATTCACCAGCTACGGTGGGGGCTTTGGGACAATTGCCTCTTTCAGCTGAGCTTGTCAGAAGGTTTTATGTGCAAGGGGACTGCCAGAGGAACTACAGTACCATGCCTGCCCAGGCAGCTTAACTCACTCAGCACCAGAAGGAGAGCAATATTAGGGGCAACGTGAGTTGTCTAAGTGGCCACAGTGCTATCCCTGTGGTTTGCTCCGAGGGTAAAGGTTTAATGAGGAGGCCTGGATGGATATTAGTCTCAGAGGAACCAAGAAACTCGGAGAGGCATCGGAGGGATACACTTAAATGCATGCATGAAATGATTAGGTCTGAAACTCTGGATGAAAATGTCCCCAATTCCATTATGCACATCCTCAATATTTTCTAAAATAGGAAATTATATACATCATGCTATGGTGATTTTCTTCTTTTTTGAAACATGTTCACTTTGGGAGGGGGAATATGGTAAGAAAGAATTCCAGAGCATCATGAAAAAACAAGGGGTGCAATATAGGGCTTTAAGGGCAAAACGGCAGAGATTGGCAGTCATGGTAAAGGCTGCAGTGGTGCTGAGTTATCTGCCTGGTTTGACCAACAATCCTCTCTGTTTTCTCAGGATTCTGGTGACATTCCCACACAGATTACCATGTTGTAAGATGTTGCTGCATGTCCGTGCAATGAGAGGCTAGGAGTGGCCACAGCTTCCCACCACATATCTACTAAATATATACGCCCATCAGAAAACCCAGGGGAATTATCATCACATACCCTCTGCAGTCACAGCATTAAAATTCTGCTCTATAGAATCAGAATTTTGTAAATTATGTAAATTTAACGTGTTTGTGTGATTTCTGTTATTTTGCATAATTTATTCTGGAATGTTTGCTCTTTTGCTCTGTTTATTCTGCTTCTGCTAGTAAGTGGGATAAAGGAGCTTTGTGGGGCACTGAAGCCCAGGAGCAACCACTGCAGATCTCAGTGAGCAACCCCTCCAGCTTTTGGGATTTCAGCAGACAGAGCCCATACTCTTTTATTGACAGAAGTATTAGAATTTACTCTCTAAAACAACAACAAAAACACAATTGCTGTACAAAGCCCTGTTCTTAGAGGTACGGGTCTGCATGCCATGGCTAAGTAAGACTTACAAAAGAGTTCCCAAGTCTGCACTACTAGAATGCACTTAGTGCTCCTTTCCAAACTCTTCCGTCCCCTTAAACTGCAGCTCGTTTGGACAAGCCTAGTGGGAAGGATGGGAGGACTGATTCCATATGGCATGTTAAAGGAGCAGTGAAGGGATGTGTTGCTTGATGCCGAGAGGGGAAAGAAGAGGCAAAGGCAGCCGTGCACTACCTTTCGGGCAGCCCAGATCAACAATGGGAAATACGGGAAGGAGACTATCTTCCCTCCTTCTCCAGAAAGAATCCTGCCCAGGCTTATCTGGGGTGGGTCACCTTCTGACACCTTCTAAAGGATCTGCTCCACCGTGCTTAAGCAATGCTCTCCAGCTGGTCCTGCTAGCATAGTAAATATGAAATGAATTAGCTCCCTGGAGGCCTTCTCCCATCCCCCAGGACTGGCTGGCTGGCTGGCTGGCTGCCCACTCTGATCGCCAGTGCTTGTTAGCTCTAATTGCTCCACTCCAGCACCCAGGCTCCAGAGAAGCCGCCTCTTGCTTGCTCCACCCTGGGAATGCAGCCACGCAAACCCCGTCTTCCCAAGGCAGCGTCTGTTCACACTCCTCTCTCGGGCCTTGCCCCTGCACCTCAACCCTTTGACCCAGTGTCGACCCTGGAGCTGGTGCCAAATTCCTTTCTGGCGGCTGCAACAGGAAAGGAAGGAGGGGATTCCCTGGCTGAGCAGAGGGACAGGAAGGGAGCAGAGCACCCCGAGGCAGGCAGGCAGGCAGGCAGGCAGGCAGGCAGGCAGGCAGGCAAAGGGCTGCAGACAGAAGGGGTACAGGCTGGCTGAGGAGCAGCAAGCAAGGAAGGCTCAAAAACAGCCTTAGCACCACAGCTCTCTCTAACAGGGAATTACCATGGCTCAAGGCCACTGCTCAGTTCCGGGGAGTGGCAGGCGGGAGGAAAGCTTGGCAGGAATCTCTGCTCAGCGTGGGAAGTGCAAGACACAGGAATGTTCCCGATAGGAAGAAGGCCAAGGGGTGGGCCTGCAGCTGCCAGAGGAACATGTGTTGCTTCAGTGAGGCCAAAGCCCCCACCCAAGGCACACAGAAAGGGATGCCACTATGGCTAGGAGCCTTGGCCTGGCACATAATGAGGGAATCCTGTGCCACGGCTGTTTGCTGGCTGTTTTGCGATGCAGGCACATATGTGCACGTGCAAATAAACCCAAAAGGAAGTAGTCCAAGCTGCTATGCAGGTGTGTGCCCAAGTATCCCGGGCATGACTGTCACTCTTTCCCTGGGAGCTTATATGCTTATTAGTTGGTGGATGGGTGGTAAGGGATCAATAGGATAAGTGCTTGCATGTAAGCCTTCCTGGGAAGGGCTGAGTGGTGGTGTGGCTGGATCCTTCTCTACCTTTTGGAATGGTCATATGGAGCCTATTTTGCTTCCACACAGGTGCCACAGATTCCACGGAGTCCACAGAAGCAAACAGCAGTTCATACCTCTCAGAAGCATTACTTGTCTTGCAATTCATAAACGCCATACTCCCTAAGTACATGGATTAGGCACCGGAGGGAGAAGAAATTGCTTCTCACATACACACTTAACCCAGCTTGCTAAGTCTGGTCACCAGTGCCAGTGCCATTGGTAGAATGCGGCGATCCTATTGCCAGCCAGGGCTTTGTACAGACTATTATAGCTTTTTAAAAACAAGGCGGTCATGTGGCAGAGATGCTCTTGACCCTTCTACTGCAGGTCATCCTCCCTACATTCCTATTTCACAGACTTTTATAACACTGAAAAAAACCTTGCAAAATGTTATGACCAGATATCATAGCAGGACAGAATGTCCATGTCAGTGGTGAGGAGCATGTGATCCTACAGATGTTGTGTGACTACAGTTCCCAAGGACCCTCACCATTGGCTATACTAGCTAGGGTTGATGGGAACTATAGGTCACAAGTTGCCCACTGGGCGAGGGTGGGCGAGAGTGGCTTTATCAATCTGCCACTTCAAGCCCTTTGTTTGTTTGTTTTTACTGCCAATGAAACTGGTTCTATATTCCTCTCTAGAACACTATTATGTATCAGTGGTCTCTACTTCCAGGCAATAAGGAACTTGGACTCTCAATGTGGGCCATTTGGGAAGTCACAACAGTTAAAGGATAGAAACCTGTACTTCAAAAGGAAAATGTCACTGCTAAGATTTGCTCATGAGCAGCCAGCCACCTGGCTGCACGTGGGCACACATGCATGCACACGCAAACACACAGGTAACATGATTTTTGGAATCACAGACATGTAGTCTTAAAATCCAAGCGGAGGAAAGGGAATATCAGCATTTGGAGATCCTGTCTGTAGCCTTCATTTGAATTCCTTTCCTCTGTTCCTCTGATGTCACAGGGTAGTTAAGCAGTGCCAAATCAGGGACTGTCTTCCAAATCAGGTACAAATGGACTCCCATATGAATTTTACTTTGCATGAATCCGCACAGCTTTGCAAGGTTTGGAGAGGGAATAGAGATTCAGCTTTCCCTCAGGATGAATCTACATAAAGGGCTGGGGCCAGGGAGGAACGGAGTAGGCAAGCAAGTTCTCCAGTGAGCCCTGGAAGGCTTCCATGAGCCATATGGCAGAGCCATGTTGCAACCCAAAGCCAACACTAACTGCTTTTTTTTCTCTGTAACCTTCACTACATTTGCTAATGTTTTGTGACATAAAACCTAGAGATTAATTTTTTTTCTTCTGTCTTAATTGAAGGAACCATTTAGTACAGATTTAACTATTATTACCAAATCATCAGGATTGATGCAGCGCACACACGCGTGCTCCAATCATGTTTGGACTAGCTTGGAGGATTTATGCAAATGGGCCTGCCGGGAGAGGCAATTTGTAGCAGAGAAGGACAATTATACAGGGCCCGTGAGTGCGGGAACGACTGTGCCGGGCGGCTAATGGATAATCATAAAGCGCCAGCAGCAATGAACACCACTGCAGCGTGACCAATGACTTTATACAGCACAGATAAAGAGGCTTTTATGCAACGCTGCCTTCTTCTTCAAAGAGGGGCAGTTCTTTCCCCCAGAGCAGTGCAGGAGGCAAGACAGACATGAGGCAGGGTAGCACAGAGAAGTGGGCACTCTCTCCCCATCCCTGTTATTCTCTTGGGTCCTCATGACATGCAAAGATACTGCAGCCCTTAGTGCTGAATTGCAACCACTTCTGGGGAGGAGGTGACAGTAACAGACATGAACTTTGACCTCCTGATACAGAAGTGCGCCATTATTGATACATGCGTGTGTGCACACAGACTTTTGTATTATAATAACAATAGAACACAGTAGAATTCCTTGGTAATTCCATTGGCTTTTGCAATATACAAATACCGAATAGTGTGACAGAGCAATGTATGTATGGACCAAGTGTTATATTCTGTTACATGAGAAAAATCATACTGCTTTCAGGACTTAAAATAAGAAGACAAGCCCCCATGTCTGAAATGCTCATATGGTCACATATGCATGCATACTTCCCCAGAGCACAATTATACGCTTTAAGTAACATATTTGTGCAAACCCAGGCTCCCGCTCCCTTGCAGGCACAATACTTTTCCTCATTCACAGTAACCATCCTAGCAAACCTGAGCAGTGTCGAGATCCTGTAAATTCTGTTTGTGTGCGTGTGCATGCACACATGTGTGCAGAAGGGTAGGATGGGTGGCTTTCAAGCTGAAAGGTATCGGGCAGGCCAGGGTGCTGAAACCTCTCAATGCTTTTCAGTTTTTCCTGCAGCCCCCCACGTTTGTAATGTTGGAAATGAGCCCAACTGAGGTGGGGAGCAGCAGGGGAAGGAAGGGTCCCCCCACTCTTACTCATCGCTTTACAGGTGCTTGGCAGCCACCCACATCTGACTACACAAATCTGCCGCGGTGTCATCTGTTGCTCTGCCCTTACAGGAATGCATATGGCGCCACTCTCCCTTACTGCAATACTCACAGAGTTCTGTACACACATTCATTTATGCACACACACGCGCCATTATGCTTTCGGAGAAACCTGCCATGCTCGACGCACGCAGCGCTGCAGCACGTTCCCCCGCTGCCCCCCACAAGTCATGTCAGATCACTCACTTGACCTTCCTGTTGTCCCCCTTGCCGATGGAGCCCTGCCGCAAGGAGCCGAGCGTGCTGGAGTGCTTGCGTTTTCTTGGTCGCCCTGGTCCCCGTCGAGCTGGACTCCGTGAGCTCTCATCTCGCCTACGGGCAACAATCCCAGTGAACACAATGCAACCTCGCAGCTCCCTAGGGAGTCTTTTACTGGGTGTCAGCACATGCCTCTCTCACAAGGCTGGGGAAGGCTCTGTGAGAGTGGCTGGCTTGCCTGGCCTTCCATCGCAACGGGCTGAAGCTCTTTCACAGCCCTGCACTCTCCCGTTCTCACTGCAGTGCCACCTCACTCACAGGGCTTGTGGCACATAGGCCAGGCCCCTGCTGTGAAAGCAGGGCAAGGGGCAGAGACACTCACTCATGGTCGTGCCTCCTCTGCAGCTTGGCCAGTTCCCGCTGCTTCTCCTTGTAGCGCCGCTGCAGTTCTGCCAGACGCATGCGTATCTCTACCTCCTGGGTGTCCAAGTTCTCAATAGCTGCTTTCAGAGGGCAAACCTGTGGCAGGGGAAGGGGAGGAGGAAGGAGGAGGCATTTTCGTCATGGTGAAAAGCAAGAATGGCTGTGGCATATATGCTGCGTTAAACTGATTTATGCATCCCTGCCTTTGGTAGAGCTTGTTTTCTGTTGTGAACCAAACCTGAGAAGTGGGTGTACACTTCAGGGAAGGAAGTGGCCCAGAAGGCTTACTGCTCCTTGAATGTGCTGAAATACTGACCTCCGGATGCCAACAAGCCAGGATCTACTACCACAACATTCCCCTTCCTGGTGCCCTCCCCAAGACATGTTGGAACTCCTCAGTTGTAGTCAAAACATCTGGGAAATGGGGGTACCAGGATGGAGAAGGATGCTCTAACTTTCATGGTCTGGTTCTACAGCTTCAACTCACAGTGGCTCAAGGGAGAAAATGGACTCCTAAAGAGAAAAAGCAGCCAGTGATGTATTGTCAGGGGGCTGGGTCTGAGAAACGCAAAGTCTCAGCTACTGCACTCTGGCAGCTGACAGCCTTCATCAGAGGAGAGTCTCCATCAGATAAGATGGCGGAAAATTCTGCAGCCTTCAAAGAACAGAGCAACACATCTGACTTAGTCTGGTCTGCAGTATGTCAGGGTCAGGCAGGAATGGCACCGTGCTGGATCTGACGTTGACTATATGTTGCACAAGCCGTCTGCGAAATGCCCCAGTGCAAAATACTTACAGGCTTGGTTTTGGGGGTCCAGATATATTTGCGACGGGAAACCCGTGTGCGGGGGCGCAGGTCCACACACGGTGCAGCATCTGCTAGGCTGAGGAGGTCGGGAGGGCTGCTCTCCAGGCCAGTGGCCTCAACAAGGGCCCAGGCTGCAGCAAGGGTAGCCAGGCTTTGCAGATTGAATGCTACCAGGTCTTCATCCAGCACTGTGGGGAAGAGAAAGGATGCCGCTGCAGAGATTGCTCACACGTGGATGATGGGTACATGCAGTAAACCCATCACATGCCTCGGCACTGTCACTAGACCGTAAGCAGCCTCCTGCTGTTGTCCTTCAGACAGGCTAGATTGGAACTCTGGCCATTCCCATCCAGCAGGGTCAGTGGAGCTGCTGTCTGGGAATGGCAGGAATGTGGTCCAACATATACGGAAGGCAACAGGTAGAGATAGGTTGACCTATCTGGGTACCTTAGAAGAGCAAGCCCTAATCAGAGCCCACAGTGCGCTGTAATAGGAATCGTGTGCCCTGGTTGACTCGAAAACAACACCCAGTGACTGAGTGTAGGCTCGTACCTGCTGGTCCCCATGGCTGTGGCACACAACCTCTTCCGGCAAGGCCCCAGCTCTGCCCCCTTCTCAGACACGTCTAGCCGCCAAAGCTGCTATCAAAGGTTGGAAAGTGTGGCAGAAGTGTTTGCCTGGTCACCATTGTTAGAACAGCAACTTGCAGTTTTGGGGCTGCAAAGTTTTCAAGCACGGCCTAGCCCTGCCATGTTTCTCCTCTTCCCTCTTTTCTGCACACCACCGTTTGAAGCCATCAGGCACACAGTCATGTTTATATCAGGCACATACCACACATCCAACCAGCCAGAGGAGAAGTTATTGGGATGCCACATACTTCAGCAGGGGGCCTGTGAAGGGGCAGGCAAAGGGGCAGCAAGCCGGAGACAGCATTGTCTTGCCTTGAAGGAAAGAGGGCCTCATCAGATAGCATCAGGTTTGGAGGGAGGCCCCAGGGAGATGCCGTGCCCCAGGAGGGGTGGTTCTGAAGGGAACACGGTTGCTCGGCCATGCAATTAAGAGTGCCAGGAGATTATGTGCGGTGGGGAAAGGGGAATTAAGAGACACAGATAAAATTGGCTCTGCGTGTGTATAGTACATACTTATATAAATAAATATATAAGCAGTAAGATCTGTCTTATCTATAGCTGTAGATGCAGGCATATGAATACACACACGGAGATGCAGACACAGGCAGCACATACACGCCCCTCCCTAGTGGGTTGTTGCTGTGCATCTCCGTACAAAAATGTCTGCTGGCGAGTGTGCCCACACACACGTGCAAGAGAGCATGCAGGGGAGTCCCTGTGTGTGGTTTCCGTTCTACTGTTGGCAAAGAACGGTTCTGGTGTGTGAGCAGTAACCGTTTGTGTACAGATGAAAAGCACAGACTTTGCTTAGCCACAGGGGGTGATAACCATCTGCACATGTGGGTTGGTGTAGACCTCTCCACCAAGGAGGCGGGAAATGGGGAGGCTTAAAACAGCAGCAGAGAGGTATTGCGGGGGAGAGGGACAGAGAGAGAGAGAAAGGACTTTCACTACTTTCATTAGTCTCATTTTCTTTTGCAAGCTTGGGATGCTCAAGCACTGGGATGCATGTTTTGAGAACTAAGAAAACCCAGAGCAGGAGACAGCAGAGTGAGAGTGTGGCAACCCTCTCTCAGAGAAATGTGTTCTCATCTGGTAGCTCTCATGGGGCAAGGGTAACCCAGCTTGACACAGCGAGCATCCTTCAAGCGCTGCAGGCGCTATTAACAGGCCCACACACTAAATCGCTACTCCACCACAATTCAGGGTGCAGACCTGAGGAACCCCTTCCCACATGGCTTTCAGCATGACTCAACACTTGCACCCAAGACTGAAAAGGCATTAGTCTTCTCTTCCTAGAGCCCAAATCAAGGGTGGCGCTGCTCTCAATCCTAACAGTGGCAGTGAGGCAGACCCAAGAACTACTCTCTCTCATCTGTTAAGCAGTTCTCCAGATGCTATGTCTCTTAGGGGAAAATCACTCAGATTCCCAGGGCCAGGAAGAGGCAACCTCATGATCAGCTCTCTCCTTAGTGACCATTCTGAAACACACACATAGATTTCCCACCACTAACCACCAGCCTTTCAGAGATTTGGCTCACACTCCGTGGCTGTTGCAAGTAGCTAGTCCTTAAGGACAGGGCACCTAGAGCAGTCTTCCCCAACCTGGCACCCTCCAGGTATGTTGGATTAGGACTTCCATTGCCCTCAGCCAGCCCAATAGGCTGTTCTAATGACTGAGGTAGGTGGGAAATTAGCAGCATGTGTGCCGCTCCACAAACTGACCTGGTTGGGCGAGGAAAGTCTCAACCTCCAGACAGCCGTAACTACAACGATGTTTGGTTGACTCACCACCCTTTTCTTGCCTGCTTTGCATATTCTGACACACTTGGTGTGTGGCCCCCAGACAGCAAGTCCTGCAATGAATTCACTTCATAGGCAGGCAGACTGTTCTGTGAGCCCAGGAAGGGTTGGGTACCAAGAGGGGGATCATTTAACTGATAGGTGCATGAGCCTACATGGCTGTAAGGGACTGAGCAGCCACTCTGCGGAAAACTGTGTGCGCATGCAGGCAGGCATGCACAAAAGCTCTTGACTGAGGCAAAACCAACTGTTCCATTCATGTTGCAAACCATTCCAACTGAGATCTTTTCAACTGACTAGATGTGCATGTCAGGATGGGCAGTGGGCAATCTTTCTGGTTTGTTGCTGAGCATTAATAAACAGAGAGGGGAGTAAAAGATGAATTAGCAGAGAGTACTTTCTAAACAGCTGCTTGCTTGGTGAGGAAGCTGATAATAAGGGGCAGCAAGGGGACAGACTCATTGGTGGTCCGTGACCTTCAGTTAGTTAGTGAAGGCTACTGCTGTAATAGTGACTGGCATCAGCAGAGTTCAACTAGATAATGATTCTGTGGCTCTGGACAAGGCTGTCTGAGTAATGCAACGTGGGAAGAGAGAGCTGCAGAGCATTCCTGGAAGCAATGTGGAGTTGCTTTTGATCACCAGCTGTTCGGTGCAACATGGGAGGAAGATGGCTAATGAAAGACAGTAGGACAGCGGGTCCTAAAGGGGAGCCAGCATGGATGCAAATACATCTGCTATAGGTCTCAAAGTTACAGACTTCCCACACATTTCTCCAACATCATGGAAAAGCATCCAGGACTTCTGGTTCCGGACCCAGGACCATCTTTCTATTGTGAACAAACTCGATCTCCAGTTGATTGCCAATTTCATCATATCCCAGCCTCTGTGGGAAGCACTGGAGCTGCAATCTCCTCCCCATTGGCCAGACAGTAGGCAAGAGTGGCCTGAGAGAGAAGATCCTTATTCCTCCATTGACCCTGGATGTTTGGCTCCAGTGGTGGCTTAGATGGGAGGAGCAAACGCGCAACCGACCATCCTCCTGACCTGAAGAAGCCTGCAGCCTTTTGCATCCGTCAACAAAATGGGCCACATGGCTCAAGACAAATGTGGAGTCATGGCATGAGGCCCCACCCCTCTGTTGTCCTCACCAGCAGCCACTCCAGCAGGCCTTCTTGAACGGGGGAAGCAGGAACATTCCGCCAGCCCTGACGGAAGACTTCAATTTTTTCCTCCTCCCTCCCAATTCCTTTTCCCTTGTGCATCGTATCTTTTTATACTGTCACCCTGTGGGCAGAGACCGGCTTGCTTTACTGATTATATGTAAGGCACTCTGAGAGTCCTTTGGACTGAAGAGTGACATCACAATCTCTAAATAAATCTATAACTGAGCTCAAAAAGCCCCTGCCTTCCTTACCATGGGTGGCAGTATCACAGTGCTGCCGACGGAGTTCCAGTTCAGCCAGCTCACTGAGCAGGGCAATGCCAGGAATCCCTGAGCTGCACGGAGAGGGCAAGGGAAGGGGAGCAGGAGGAGGAGGAGATTCCAAGGCTGGAAGTTCGCCCAGGTCAATGCTGGCAGCAATGAGGGCGTCCAGGCCACACGGGGCCACCTGCACGTCGGCATGTGCAGATGGGTCATCCGGTGAGCCCATGTTGCTCTCATCCACCTGACAGTCATCTTCCAGGGCTTCAGCAGGGCCATCCTCCACAGCCATCACCTCTGGAGAAGGCCCGGGAAGGGCAGCACCTGGCGTAGGCGCCTCCTGGTGTTCTGGAGGGGCAGAGTCCAAGTCATCCGGGCTGTCCCCGACCAGCAGGGGGCAGCACGGGGTCTCCTTAGCCAGTTCTGTAGAGTTTGGCCTCTGGGGATGCACCAGGAGATGGGGAGGGCAAGGGTGCGAGGGTTCCACTTCCATGTCCCCAGCCCCACTGGGGGGGTTGGCTTCAGCCTCGCAGTGTGGCTCCTGCTCCGGTGGGAAGGTGCGTGACTGCTCAGGTTCAGCTGCCGTGGAAACGGTTTGCATAGTGTCAGGATCTGCTGGGTCCAGGGGTAACGGCGATGCATAGCCCAGGCCAGCCACAGGGTAGGAATAACCAGGTGGAAGATCTGGTGGAAGGAAAAGGGAAAGCGCTTAAGCTGAGGCAAAAAGACAGATCACACAGCCTGTTGGGGCAATCCTGGGATCACCAAACCACAGTTTGTCTCAAGCTCAGATGAAGGGCACCCATGAACCACGTAACTTGACCCAAATTCATCCGCTAGCTCCATGGAGAGCACGCCAGTGCTTCCAAATCCTCTAACGATAATACAGTATGTAAATTCATATGCACTCCTATACTGGTGCTTGCACAATGGGATCTTTTGCAAATGGTCTGAAAAATGGCATGGAGGGCTGGGGTAACACGACTGCAAGAACAAGAAGTATGACTAGGGACCAGGAGATGCTGACGTCCTCATCCTGAACAGCAAAAATCCTTGTTCTGGAGGCCCTTCCAAGCCATGAGGTTTTAGGAGGTACTTCCCATACTCTTTTCTCTATAACCACAACGACTGGGTTGCTGAAGACTAGGGTTTGGAACATGCTTGCCGTATCCTGTGTAACACGACTAGATTCCAAATAATCAGGTGGCATTACTGCTATCAGAGTTCTTGCCCATAGCAGAACACTGTCCTGTATCACGTCCTCCTGCAACCTGGTGCCATCCAGATGTTTCACACCCAACTTCTATCAGTCAGTGGAAGTTGCCAGTGTTGAAGAATGCTTTAGACCACATCTGGAGACAGCAAGCTGGGGAAGGTGGCTATATCAATAATGGATTGTTTTAGCAAGGCACAGCCACTGTGTTCTTGTGCAAAGATACTATGTATTTGCTAGTGCCCCCCTCCCCTTGTCCAGCCTGCCACAGATCCCAACCTGGTTCCAGTGATTTGGGATAGTCCTGGGCTGGTCTCCCCTCCGGCTGCTTGTCCTCAGCCTCTGGACCTGTGGAGTTCTGTGAGGGCACTGGACTTACAGCAGGTGAGCGGGGCACCACAGCAGGGCAGACAGGTAAAGTGCACGGGGCAGGGCATTTGGGTGGGTGGCAGCACGGAGAGAGCTTGGCTGAGCAGGCGGCAGCTGGAGACAGGCCTTTTGGAGTAGCATTTAAGGCAACAGCTTTGTGAGATGGTTTGAGTGGCTTCTCAGGGCCTGGCATCTCTAGCTCAGGGGGTGGCTCTTCAGGCTTCCGCTGAAAGGGGAAAGAGACGGTCCGTCAGCAAGTGCTTGAATCTCATGGAATCCATCACACAGAATGTCAGTAGGTCCTGACTGTGGTGATACTGTCAGCATTTGCATTTGCCATGTACTCCTGAGGTTTCACAGATTAAGTTTTGAGTAAGATGTCAGACAGTATACTTGTGCATCCTTCCAAATCCTTACCTCTTCCTGATGTGTTTTTATCTGCCCCCAACTCTGACCTCCCACTCCCTTCTTGATGCCAGTGTCAGGATGAGGTAAGGCCATTTATTTAATCTGCATCCCCCTAGAGGTCAGATGGGATGGAGTTTCTCAATGGGCTCAGCGAAGAGATGAACGCTATCTTGCACTTCCTATACTAGTACCCTTTATCCCCCTGTTTACACAATCAGAAATCTGACCCAGAGTGACAAAGTCTGCTCCAAGAAAAGCTAAGTTGTGCAGTTCACCCAATAGGCACCATTCAATTTTATATAATATTTTTGGCTGCTTCTGCTTGTGATGAGGAGAAAAGGACCTAATCCAGTTCTCTGACCACTGGAAATTTTACCCAGCCATCTGCTTTCACTTTCTGAGACCTCACCAAGTATCAGCCCCACACTTTTCCAAGAAATTCTTTGCAGCTCTTTGAGAAGCAGAAATCCCTGGACTCTATAAAATGTCCCATGCTTGCTTTCTACATGCACGGAATCAGGACACTCCCCCCCCCACCCCGCCCCATTACGATCCTCTGGAGTCGGGAAGAGAGTTGGTTTCTACCAGCACCACACAGATAGAAGCAGGATGTTGACTAGTGTGCATCTTAGCCAAAAGGCCTTCCTTTGAGATGAATCAGGGGAGAACATTTGCTCCCTTTCAAGGGCCAAGCACCACATCTTAAGCCAGGATGGGATTTCTTGCTAGGTCAGATTGGCTGGAGAAGCTACTGAGTGAGTGTGCATGCGTGTGTGTTAGTGTCTTCCCCTACAGGCCTGCTTGAGTGAGTCATCTGCAGCTGCGTATTCACCTTCCTGCAATGCATTTTGCTTTGCATGTGTGTCACGTTGTGGTCTGCACTGCATAAGCTGATCTGTGTTAAATCAACTGCATGGGTGGTCCAGGCTTTCTTGTATGTAGAAGGAAAGATTAGATTATAATTTATCCCTTCGACTCTGCTTATACATGTTTTCCAAATGGCGGTGGCGGCAGCAGGAGCTTCCTTTCCCAGTGAGAGTCTCAGTTACACACCCCTTCCGCAGCAGAGAGACTATCAAGAAGGGGCACAGTGGCGATGCCCTCTTTTTGCATGCCCACCTGGCTGTGCGTGTGCCGCTGTACTTCCAAGGCCTGTGCTGCACGTTGCTGCTGCTGCTGCTGCTGCTGCTGCAGGGCATAGAGTTCTTGCTGACGCAGGAACTGGGAGCGGGAGTAGACAGGGAGTTGCCCGGTGTGCTGCAGGTGTGAGCCAGGCCCCCGGCTAGGATACATGGGTGGCCAAATAGATGCCTGATCCATCACCTCAGCTGCTGAGAGAGAGGACAGTGAATCAGAGAGGTAAACCAAGCCAGTGCATCTGAGATCGCCCTGATATAAAAGCACACTTATCTCCTCTCATCAGAGAGGCAAGCCCTGTTCCTCTCATCCCACAAAGACTGTTGCAGAGCTGTGGTGCTCCAGCCGGTTCCTTTCTGGGTGCTACTTACCCAGTGTGTGGGGGGCCCCATGGGCTGGTGGTTCAGAGGGCAGGATGACTAGCTGGGCAGGTGGCTCCTGTGACAGGGGGAAGACTGGCTGCATCGCACTGGGCATAGAGGTGGGAAAGCCAGGTGGCAGGTTTTGATGGAGGGCAGGGTGCCCAATGCCTAGAGGGAGAGGGAGGAAAAGTGCTTGAGACAAAGGACAACGCACACAGCAATCCCAGGGGAAAGAGGTGGCATTACAGGGCAAGGCTTGCCAAGGTGGGCCGCAGGCGCTTGCCAAGGAGAGCTTTCCCACTACCGTGCAGTGAGCCAGCAATACATGATCTAGCCTCATCCACCCCATTCCCAAGCTCCCCGTGTCAACAAGGAAGGCCTGCAAAGGCAACATAAGCTCAGTTGTCTGCATGTGTTTGCACTGCTCTGTATGACTGGGAATTCAGGCTTATCAGAGTCCCCAGTCATGTGAATGTCTCTAAGTACAACCGGCTATATGTGATTGGGGCACCATATGCAGACCTTCCCATCAACACAGGGGAAACGGGAGTGGAGGCGGCAGCGCCAAAATGCACATCCACTGGCCCCTCTATGCATACAGGAAGGGCCACTCCTGCAGAAGCCAGAAGAGGGCTTTGGCTCTGCTATGTGTCCCCCAGTAAGGGGCTCTCCACCTGTCTCCTGACCACCGCTTCTTCTTGCACGTGTACATGGCAAAACAGACAAGTGAGAATTCCTCGCCTCAGGCAGTGTTGTATCATGTATGTGATTTTACTCCACACAGTCATAAACTGAGAATCATCGTGTGTCAGGAGCCCATAAGGAGGATTGGGTGGTGCTGTCACAGGTTCTACCTGTCTCCACCTACCAGTGCGATAATGGCCCAGATAGGACAATCTATCCCAAGTCTACAATAGCTCTGACACATGGACTGCAGGACAGACAAGAATCCAGTTTTGCCCATCCTGGTGGTCCACCGCACGCACTCACATATTCTACACAGGAAATCATGCTTACATGTGGAGGGCTTTGCTGCATGAACATGTGCTAGATCAGGTGTTACTCTACACTTTATTTTGGACTGTTTTCCATGCAGGAATTTTGGAATACACGAAACAGCCCCGAGTGCCAATCACACTGGGGTGCCTTCAGCCCTTGTAGGAATGGAAGCTGGAGGCTAAGGTACATCCCACATCCCCATCCTGCATTTAAACAATGGGCACGAAGCGAGACTAGAGTGGTGTGCAAAGTGATTGGGAGGAAAAGGTGCGGGCTAAAAACCAAGGATGGAATAGCATGGAAGACCTGAAGGAAACCGAAGCTGCTGTGTGAGATAGACTGATTGCTACAGGGCAGGATATCAGGGACATCTGCAGAGTACAAAGAGGAAGGCTGCCAGTGGCCCAGGCCCAATTAACGGTTCGGTTTCAGGCACGACTGCACTGACCGTATGAGTGTCCACCCATCCAAAGCGAAGGGCTGCGTGTCCGGGGCAGCCAGTGTGTATGGGCAGGATGCGTGTGAGCTGCTGGGTCTCCTCCTAACTGGCTGGCCTGGAGCGAGGAACTTCCTGCAATCATCAAGTGCGGAGTGAGGTCTCCAGGGCAGCTGCTTGATGGGTGGATACGGGCAAACTCCACTAGGTCCTTGTTATCCCTGACAGGTCAAAAGACATTAGAGAAAGAAAAGCAGGTGAGCTGGGACAGAGTGACCTCCCCTCGCCCCCCCCCCCCCCCCCTGAGCAAAAGATGACAGCGAGGGCAGGCAACCTGTGGCCCTTCAGCAGCTTTGGCCTGCTACTCCTACCATTCTTCCTCATGGGCTGTGCTGGCTCGGGCTGGGGAGTTGTAGGCCAACACTTCCAGAGGGCTGTATGTCGCCAACCCCTGAACTACAACACAGGCCTTCACAAATCTATTGTGTCAAGGCGTTCAGTGCTCCCACTCAGGAAGAGGTGGAATCCCAGAGAAAAAAGAAGCTTGGCTCTGAAAACAACAGGTCTACCCTCAGGCCACCATTGGAGCTCTGGTGGGAAAATCCACTACTCTATCCCCACCACAGCCAATGCCATTTGTAGACATGAAGTTGCAAGACAGCCTGAGATACAGGCGGGCTTTCTCAGTGCCTTCAAGAGGGTTGCCCAGCCTAATAACCATAAAGTATGACTGTCAGTTCAAGATTTGTTTGCTCCCCCTCCCCATTCCGTGTAGCAGGAGTGGATCCTTACTGGAGGAGGAGGTCTCTCCCTGCCAGCCCCAGGCGCTCCTCACACAGTCGGCTCCGTTCCTCCTCAGCATCCAGGTCAATGACATGCACTGGCCGTGCTGCACCAGCTGCAGGAAGCAAAGCAGGGGAAAGCAAGATTGAAGGCAAGATTAATAACACCTTTTGGCAGCATGTACAGGAGGACTTCCCCAAGAACTGGCTTTTCTCCTGGGAACACAAGAACAGAGAGTGGAGGTGGAAGAGAAGAAGGATGCCCGGGAAAGCAGGTCACAGCACAATACGTCTGCTTTCATCTCCCATTCTGTGCAGCTAGGTGAGAGTGGAACCTACAGCAGGTAAGGGGTCCCAGGTCCCACTTTGGTTCTGGTACTAAAAAATCTGGAATGAGGGGCCTTTGATGGGAGTGAAGAAAGCCAGGAGTCAATTAGCAACTGGCTGCAGGCAGAAGCCCCTTTCACTAACTGTCACTGGGAAAGGGACTTCACATGCTAAAGTGGGCAGCAAGGCCCATGGCTACCCCACCCCCGACATGGCATACTTCCCGCCGCTATCCATGTGCTGTCCCCCTGCCCTCCAATCGGGGAAGCCCGCTTCCTTGTGATATGACCTGGAGGGGGACTGCAATCGAAAAGAGAGGCCCGTGTGGGATGTAATCCCTAGAGCTGGAAGGAAATGAGGGGCAGACAGTGATCCTTTAAAGCAGGGGTCTCAAACTCGTGGCCCGCAGGCCAATTGCTGGGACGGGCGGGCACGAGGGAGGGGCCCTGCGGCCTTCAAAGTGCCGGCGTCGACCGGGCCGGCCGCGGGATGAGCGGCCCACCACCACCACGGTGGTGGAATACTTGGTGCGGCCCAGCCTCACCCAGACTCTACTTCCAGCGGCCCCCAGGTAAGTCGAGTTTGAGACCCCTGCTTTAAAGCCTTAGGGCAACCTTCCCCAACATTGTGCCCCCCTTCATTTTGGACTACAACTTCAGCCCTTGCAGCTAGCATGGGCAATTGCCAGGAATACTGGGAGCTGTAGTCTAAGGCAACTGCAGGAAGTTGGGGAAAGCGGCCTTATGGGGCTGTGGGCCTCCGTGCTGCCTACCGCGTTACACACTTTGGCTCATTACCTTTGAGGCCCATGGCAGCCCGGCCCTGCCGACTGGAGCTAGATCCATAGGCTGGTTCAGGCCGGCTCAGTGTTTCCTTCTGCCGAGCCACGGCCACAGCGATGCCCACCGGCGGCTGACGCACCTCGCCGTCGCCATGGCCCAGCTCATGGTCCCTGCTGCGGGCACAGTCTGGACGTTCCAGCTCCTGCTGTCCCTTGGCCCCCAGGAACTTGCCCCCATCCTGGTGGGCGCAGCTGCCCTTGAGGCTGCCCAGCCCCACGAATGGCGCTTTCTGGCCCACAATAAGTGCTTGATTGCTGTATTTCAACAGGTTTTTCATGGCTGACACCTCGTCTGGGGGCGTCTGCATCTCCTGGGTGAGCACGGAGCCCTGGGTCATGAGTGCGGCCTGCTGGAGGCTGCTGCTGAAAGGGTCCAGGTAGGAGCCTTTCCTTTCCTCTGCCATGGGCAACGGAGGGCCCTGGCCCTGCACCGGCCATGGGGGGAGGTGTGGTCCGCTGTAGCCCAGGGAGCTGAGCTCCATGGATTTGCGCTTCGGCTCTGCATGGGCACCTGCCTGCTCCATCTCCGTCTGCAAGTGCTGCTGGTGGCGGATGCGAGCCACTTTCTGGGTGCTGGGTGCTGGCGGCTCCTTGGGGGCCTTGTCTAAAGTGCAGCAGGACTGGCTGAGTTTACACAGCGTCTCTTGAGGGCCGGGCCGGGCACAGTCCTGAGGGGGCACCATCTCAAAGTGCCCACTCTTAGGTTGGTGGGACAAGCTACCAAAATGACTATCAGAGCCGGGGCTGTTCAGGTACTCTAGGCCTTTGAGGCGGGCACTGGAATTCTGTGGCCAATCCAGCCGCCGCTCCGTTTTCCCCTCTGCTTTGAGGTGAGAGAAAGCGTGGTTTCCGTAAGTGGGTGGGTGCTCCGGACCCATGTCGTGGGGACGCTCCTTGCCCTCACAGGGCTCAGAGGGCACCTGGAAAGAGCGGCTCTTGTCAGTCAAGTGGCCTACAGAAGGCACAAACGTGGCCCCGCTGATCCGTAGCTCCCGACTGGCCTTATCCTGCAGAGGACACATCCCGTCGGGGCTGGAATGAAGCTGGAGGCAGGGGAAGCTGCCCGTCGTTGTGCTCAGAGCGGGGGGCCCAGCAGGCAGACTAGATGGAACAGTGTAGGAGACCGAGTGATGCAGCATCTGCCGTCGCTCGAGGCACTCACTGTAGGACTGGGGAGGCTCGTGGTGGCCGAGTTCCTTGGCACAGCGGCTCTGGGCGCCAGCGTGACGCGGCAGGATTCCTCCACCACAGCTTGGGAGGACAGCTTTGCCTGAGTCACCATTCAATACCTTGGAACTCAGCAGGCATGAGGGCAGATGCTTGGGCCGGTTGTCACAAGAACCTCGCTGGGCAGCACCTTCCTTGCAGGTCCCCTCCGATGTCATAGGCATGACCAGCTTGTGCCGTTCTTTGGCCTCATCGTCGGCTGCTCTCTCTTTGCCCTCGCCCTTGGCCCCTTTGTCCTTGGACAGGACAAAGCGCTCATAGTCCTTGTGGCACTTCTGCCCGTGGCCAGCCTCCCGGTCACGGCTGCAGGAACCAATCGGGTGACCAGGTGCTGCCCGAGCAATGCTGGGGAAGTTGTGATTGGCTGACAGCAGTGTGGGCTGCGCCGGAAGGTTCCGCAGGTAGAAATTGTCTGGAGAAAGAGGTAAGTAGTTAGGGAGGGAACAATGATCCAGACAGCAACATCCTGTGTCGCAGCCCCAGTAACTTCCCAGTCATTATTGTTGCCCATGCCTGGAATGTGGGGTGGAAATTTTTCCAGTGCTTAATTTTTCTCTTGAAAATGTTCCATTTCATAAGTTCATTAGTTACAATGAAAGGGTTCCAACTGCAAATACAATATTAGACAAACCTGTCATTAATCTGTGTCCTGTGATTATCTGTAGCAACAACTATGAGAGAGAATACATATATGCCATTGAAATACATGTATGTCTCAGCATGAAATGGGATTAAGATGCAGTGAAAGCATAACTGAGGATGCTCCAATGACCTCAGTGGAAGAGAGTTGAATTCTGTTAAAACAGATGAGCAATTCTCACCATACCATACATAGTCCTTTGGACTGCTAAAATTTACTAGCATGTCAATAGTTTTCTTAAAAACTTCTTAAATAGAACATTTGGGATTTTTTAAATATACAAAAAGAAAGAGAAGTACATGCTACTGTGTTTTAATTTTTAGAAGTATTCCAATATGAATTTCTACATACTATTTATATCACAATAAATGTGATTTTTGTTTTGCTCAAATATTTCAGGGCAAATGCTTATAGGGAACTGGGTCAAAACAATGAACATGGGACATTTTCTTCAAAAACTTCACTGTTTACTAAATACAAATGAAATAAAAATGTTAAATTAGATCACTTTCATGGGCATCAGAACATTTTCTGATGCAAAGAGAAAAATTTCCAATGCAAACCACTATATGCAAGTTAGCCTAATTTGCACAATAACATTTTCTGGAAAATTTCTCAATTCAAAATGTTCAGGAAAATCCAAATGGCTACATGTGGCTCAAACAATTCTGGGGGTGAATCCCCCTCTGTCTGCATGCTAAAATAGTTCCCGCCACATCTACTTGTCAAGCAGAGACTGAAACAGGTGATTGTCCAGGGGCCACTTGGAAAATGTAATAGTAAGATGGAACTGACATCAGAGAAATTCAGTCACAGATAAATTCTCTTCCTTTTCCCCTCCCCTTTGAACAACTGCTTGCTGAATCTTGATTTTCAATGAGATGCTAATTCCAAGCAGTTTCTCCTGATCATTGAGGACACCCCTATACATGTGTCACACATTTTGACCAAGCTCCAACACTTGCCTTTCTGGCTTTCATAGAAACGGTGTTGGCCATACAGGACATTGCTGTTTCCATGGTGATCCAAGTGGCTCATGGGAAGAAAAGTGGATGCTAAGCTCCCAGAGAACCTCGGGTAACCTGGAGCTAAAACAAGAGGCAGTGAAGAATGAAATGCTAGTGTCACAACAACATTGCAGTAGTCATGAAGCCAGGTCACTGGCTGGGCCCTTACTCCAATTTGTCTCTATGGATAAGTCAACATAATTTTGTTGGGAGTGGAGTCAAAGCACTTTGCTGGGTCAGATTTTTGCTACAGCCATACTGATACATCCACTTTGGGGAAATTAGGGGGTTTCAAGCAGCAGGGGATCAGGAGGTGAGCGGGGAGGTAGTTCACACACTTGTTGGCACCACAACAGTGAAATCCTCTGGTGGTGGCTTGACAGAAGAAACTCCCAGAGGGAGACTGCAAAAGACAGAAGCAAGGCTTGTGTGAGGGAAGGGGGAGATTCAGAGGAACCGAACACCCCACTGCCCCATGAGCACTAGAGGATTCTGATGGACATGGGTTTGCTGAATATTCCACAAAGCTTACCAAGGATGTCTTAAATATTAGATCCACATTTTGGTGTGGGGGGGGAACAAACAAATTGGTTGCTACATAATGGGGACACTGCCCCAAAGGGAAATGGTCCAGAAATTTAATGAGGCTGGAATGTACTCTTGTGGAAAAATAAATACTCCAGCATGAATCCAAATTCTTCACCAAGGTGACTAAAACTCTGCAAGCCAAATAAAAAATTTAGATCACATGTGCATGGATTTGCAATAACTTATTCTGATTCAAGGCTTCAGCTTTGCAAAGATCTTTTAACAATGTTTTGGAGGGGGCTGAGGAAATGAATAGAGAGAATAGGTTAACTGGGATTGATATGCATGTGAGCAATGAATACCATGAGGGAAGAACCAGGAGCAGAAGCAGAGACCAAGACTCACATCCTGAACACTGCGAGTAAGTCTCTGAATTCCAGTCTGATGTTCTCTGCAATCATACAGGCTAGAAATGTCATTTCTTTAAAATATTAAAATGAAAGCCAAGATGCTGAATAACCTGACGCTATCATATACCTGATCTCTTGCCTGTGCAGCACTACCAGATAGGTATGAGATCTACACAGCCATTGACTTTACAACCTTTAGTAGGATTGTATCTTCCTGGCTTCCTGCCAGTCTGTGTGTGGGTCAAGTGTCAAATGCCGCCACCAGGGATTTTACTGGGAGGAAGGCAGTGGGGAATCAAGCACTTTGATGGCTATGCCAAGGCAAGCATTACCAAAACCACCAAGTTGGTGTCAGTGCCTACTAGCTCCAGGGTTTTGTTTTGGGTGCTAAAGCTGAGGGGTTCAGTTCCCAACTCTTCCAGATACAAACTTCCTGCCTGAGTTAAGGTAAGAACTTCATCTATAAATGCAAGTCAGTCTTGGTGTCCTCCTTTGTAAAATTACTGACTCACTTAAGTAATACTCTAAATACCATAGAAGCAGTATGCATTAAATGGGGGAGAGGAAAAACACCACCAAAACTAAATAAAAATAAATAATGCTGTACTGTTTAAACAATTGAAGTGCCTCTTGCTAGAGCATCAAGGAAAATATTTTAAACTAAAGACTTTGGAAAAAAGGAGGGGATAATATTGCCATGATTAACTTAACCGGTAAGATTTAAACAAATATAATTTCCCTCAGAAAACATGAATTTAATTTGGTGATTATGTGAATTGAGGAGAGGATACTATCATTTCTTAAAGGATGTTGAACTATATTGATAGGTATATAGTTGCCCTCCTAATATAATACAATGCCTAAAAGTAGGAAAGGAAAATACTTTGCATATCAAAAACAAATATATAAATATATTTGCCCTGTATGGAGGACTAATAATAGCTAGAACTAGCCTACATAATCCTGACTGACATCTCCTCAGACATGGCACATAAGTGAATCCAAAGAAAATATTTTCCATACCCCTCACATCTGTGACTCAGAACTTCCCAGGCCAGAACCTGAGCAGGGGCAAAAAGCACCTGAGTCTCGGCCAAGTCGCAAAATTCCCCTCTCGCTCCCCTCTCGCCATCTTCCCTATTGTCCATTTGGTTCCTCCGCGCCTCTTTGCAGCAGCAGCAGCAGCAGCAGCAGGAGCAGGAGCAGGAGGAGGCGGCCAGCCCTCCCCGTGTCTGCCCAACTAATCTCCCTAGTCAGCCGCACACCAGCCTTTCCAGCCGTGCTCCCCCCGCCCCGACAGGCCGCCCGTCAGCGTGATGCCGGCAGCATCGCGTGTACCCCGCCCCCAGCAGCCCGGCGTGCCGGAAGCCAGCTGGCAGCCGTTCAAACTAGCGGTCGGCTGCTTGCCAGGGCACGGTGCCAGCAGCACCTTGCCGCTCACACTTTAACTTTCTGCATCTCGCGCGGAGAGGAGGGAGGCGGGCGGGCACGCTGGCGGGGAAAGGCCCGGAAAAGGCTCGGGGAGCGCGCGCGGAGGAGCACGGCCAGCGAGTCGGCGCGGGCGGCGGGGTGGGGGGCCGGGCCGGGCCACGCGGCCAGCCTCCCCGCGGCGCTGCCGCGATGGGATCGTAGGGGGTGTGCAGGGGCTGCGCTTCGGGAGCCCGCGGGCGAGAGGGGGGGCTCTCCGGGGGCCACGATGCAAAACACCGGCAGGCCTTTCATTTCCACGGATCAACTCAGACTAGCATGAGAGGCGAAAGGGCATTGGCTGTGAGGGGTGTTCAGGGCCAGAACAGCAGTGAGTGAGGGGCAGTGATGGAGCTGAGGAGGGGGAACCTCCCAGCTCTCTAGAATGGGTCAGGCACGTGGCAGGCGCCTTACCCAAACTCTTCGCCAAAAGATCTCGTCTTTAAAAAAAAAAGAACGAAAAAGCAGGAAGGCTGCTGGGCAAAAGGGTACCTTAGTAGGGGAATACCCATTCTTTGCTTGTGCTTAGCCTGTCAACCTTTTTCTCCAACATCTTGCCTGCACAGAAAAGGAAAACATCCCCACCTCTGTGCTACATGAAGTAGAACAGTTTAAACAGGAACAGTGTCTGGTTTTGTGGCCAGAGGTTGGTGAAAATGGCGGTGGGGGGATGGAATTGTAGAGATGCACCTGAATATCTCCAAGTAGCCAATATCCTCAGAGAAGGCAACCAAAATTTAAAGCAGTTGGGGCTTGTTATCCCTCTCCTCTATGCTTCCTGAGAACAGGGGCAGAGCAATATGACATTAAGCTCAACATTTATGAAGCAAGGTTTCTGACCGGTTACCTCCTTTCACAAGGAAAGGAATCTCCTTAGGCAGGATTATTGTTTAATCTAAATAAAATTTTTGTTTGGATTCTGGTACCTGGCACAGAATTTAAAGGATCTCAGTTGACTTTTTTAGAAATCATTTTTCTAGTCCTCATGGTTGTCACGATAAATATGAAGTTGGTTAGGCAGTCTCTACAAAAGGTTCCAGTGTCCCAAGAGATGGAGCTTTTCAACTCTGTGTGCCTACCTGACCCTACTTAATTAAGTTCTCCTTAGCTATAAATCTCTGCTCACCTTTACCCATTCATCAGGGGTTGGGCAACTTGTGGCTCTCCAGATGCTTTGGCCTACAACTCCCATCAGCCCTAGCCTGAAAGGTGATAGAAAATGTGGGCATAAACATCCAGGAGGCCACAAGTTATCCACCTTTGCCATGTATAATTTCAGGCCATTAGAAAACTTTACAGTTTTTGAAAATTTAGTCTCTCACACAGAACACAGACAGGCCCGGCAAGTAGGTTCACAAGAGTTCTGGAGCACAGTTCCCTCTTTTCCACAGAATCCCCTGTACATTCAGCATCTCCCCTCCCCACCCCCAGGCAAGAAGAGTGCTTCCACCAACCCTCTTTACCTTCATGGGAGTGTGAAAACCAAATCTGGGAGGTGCCAGAGTGGGGGCCACGGAAGGCTGGTTCAGATGGGGATGATGCTGGGCCTGTGGGGTGTGGGGGTGCTGCTGAGCCCAAGCTGCTGCTCAGAAAGCTGCCCATAAAGGACGAGGCAGGTGCGTTTCCCATCAACCCGCTTCCTGCTAGGTGCACGACAGACAGAGAGAGAGGGAGGGAAGGAGAGAGAAGAGTGTCAACAAACAGATGGACAGTGTGAAGTTCAGCAACCTCTCCACAATGGTGAACACTCCGTTAATTAGTGAGGTGTTATCCTGTCCAATGCATTACTTTGCAAATAAAATACATAAACATTAATCTGGAAGCAAAATGTGTATAATAACACCATACATGTGCTTTGTTGAAACTCTACCTAAATGCAATCTAATAAAAAGCCTAATTCATTAGAATGTTTGTCATAGACACCAGACTTGCAGAAAGAACACACTTTTAGCAGATGCATGGCCCACCTATATGCTTTCACACACAGTATCTGGATGCATAAAAAGTTCCCCACTTGATCTGGAAGCTCTGATGGGTACATATTAGCTCCCTGCTTCCATCAGGGAAGAAGCTGGCATTCATGCGAACATCCATGGAAGACCTCTGGAAACCATACCTGGATATTTCTTCTGAGTGTGGCACTATTTGCTACAAATACAGCAATATACATATATACACCGATCAGGAAACAAAGGATTGTGAGTATATGTGTCACTGGGCTTTGAAACCTGGTGGTAACTGGCACGCATACAGAACCCTTTGGTATATAAGTCTGTGACCTTGTCAGCACTCATGCATCAGCTCAACACCAGCAGCTTCAACACCAATGTACAAGCCCTGGAGGGTGAACAAACAAGAACAACTCACACGCAGCATATTGAGCTACTCTGCTTCCATGTCCAGTACTAACCATTGGGAAATTCAAGCAAAGCAAGGATATATTCAGAAATTACAAATATGGTGTAAACCTAAACACAGAAACTATAAAATCAGAATATAGAAACACTATACTACATGCATGTATTAGAAAAATGGAGGAACCCCCTCTTTTAATATTTCAAATGAGTAAAATCTATGGCGATAAAGTTTCTGGCTTTGCTCATAAACAATTGAGCCTTCAGATTTCTGGGCAAGCAGCCCCTGCTGTGGGTCACACATCCTGACCCCATTTTGCCGGCACAGCAAACCTTAATGCAGCACCTGTCTTTTCTCACACTGACTAGATATGTGAGAGCTGCCTCTGAGAAGACAGTGGAGAAGCAACATAAGCACCAGCACTGCTCATGCAAGTCTGTAGTCATATGCAAAGTTTAATATAGGAACAGAATACCTGTGGATCTGCTTTTTCCTTCACTGAATGTAGTTCATGCAGTCTAATGCATTCCCATATTGCATTGCTCATTCGGGTAGATAGTTTGTCTAAGAATTATTTTGCATAGCTCATCCTCCAATTTACTATTGGAAGTTTCTGTAGAATAGTGTCTCCCAATGTAGGGTTACCATGTGACTCTCTTGTCTGTTGGTCATCAATGCTGCGTGATGACAAGTGACTGCCTTGCACAATAATACCAGATAGATGGCTGCTAAAGAGATGGCCACTGTGATAGCCTTGATGGAGGCAGGACATTCCTTGTTCTAAGTGCACCGGACCGCCCCCCCTTGCACGTTCCCCACTTCCAAGTCACCATATGAGGTTAGGCCTAGCAAGGCCTAAATCTACCAAAATGTGCCACTATGAATGAGCAGCCTGTTACCTCTTTTCCTGCACAGTTTCTATGCCTCTAGCAACAGAATGAACGGATATTCAAGGCTATCTCCACACTGAGCGAAGTATCACCTGCTGAATCTCTGCCTGTCACATGGGTGTTAAAAGTATATGATCCTATTGGGGGCGGGGAGGGCGGCTATGTGAGTGATTTGCTGGACCTGCAAAAAGCATGGTGTGCTATCTATGGGCAATGGGCCTGGACTTTAGTCATTATTCCTAGGTATTTGACGTGGGCGAGTGCCTGGTGAGGCATCCAGCCAAGAAGCAGGAAGTGCTCCTCACTTTAAGCCAGCCCACGCTCTCTGGCTAATCCCTTTGGGATGCCTTAGCGATGAGTATGGGGATGTGGTTACAAGGGCAGGGCCAAGGCCACTCCCCACAGCTGGGGTCAGGGTGAGAGTTTGGGCACTGGCAAGGGAAGTCCCTTCCGGACATTTTGAAGGGGTTAAGTCAGATCTAAGAGTGGGGAAAGTATTCGGACTGGAGCTTTGAGAACCTGGGAGGCAAGGCTTGCCTATAAGCTAAGTACAGATTGGTGAGGACTAAGGTGATCATTATAGAGCTGCTAAATCCAGATCTGCCTTAAAAGTGCCAACCAGGAACCCAGCCTTCCTACCTGAAAGGGCGTTTTGTTCTGAGGCCTTCTCAGGGCTTAGAAGAAAGAAAACAGAACTCTCACGTTCCCAGGAGATCTGGCTCATGTGTTGCCAGAATTCCCCACTGCTACCCATTCCATTATCCACCCTATAATTCCAACATTCAGTTGACATATGAAGCAGCCTCAATGGCTTTTGCCCCTATACCAGATTGTTGTCCCTATAAACAGTACTGGCTCCAGATTTTGGAAAGACATCCTCAGCAGAAGCCCTCCCTCACTGAGCATCCCAGTTGCACCAACTGCTCTTTCTCCTCGTCTTCCTTTTTGTCATTAGGACCAGTGGCTTGCTTGGCAGGCATCAGCCAGTGAGCAAGCAGGCTGGGGCACCCGCTCCCCCTCCCTCTCCCCCTCCTCCCCCTCCCACCATGGCCTTCTGGGTAGAGCAAGAGGCAGGTGAACAAGGAGGCTGCACCGGTGAAGAGGAGGAGCAAGTCTGGGGGATGCCTGTCATTGGGGCACCGCTTTGGTCCTTGACAGATGTCCAGCCGTGCCTGTAAGACATGCCACCCCTCCCAAAGTCATTTTGTGTCATGCACACACACACGCTTCAGTCCCTCCCAGACCCATTGCCTGCACCTACCCTCCAAATCCCTTTTTGTCTAATAGCATAAAGCTTGTCAAAATGTCCCACGTGGCTTGGCTTACTTGCAAACAGCTTGCATAAAGAAAGGAGAGCCAATGCTGCTAAAATCATAGAGTCATATCTGCAAATTCCTGCTTCAAATCCTGACTCGGCCGCTCATCGGGTGGCTTTGGACAAGTCATTCCCCTTGAATTCCCCTTTTTGCTGCTACGAGTTTGGCAGAAATAATGATAGAAACCATTTAAACAATGAGCGATTTTTAAATATGCTTTCGAAAAAAAATGTTAAGAAATGGTAGTTTTTGCTTGTACCGGTCCCCTCTGCCCCACCAATTTTTTCCAGGCTTTGTGAATGCCTCTTGTGTGGTGTTTATTTTGATATCTGCAGAGGGCATTGCTGGGCGATATAGTTGTTATTTGGGGAAAGCTTCTTAAGGTCAGCAGACATATATTGCCCAGCATGTGGAAAGGTTTATATATCTAAATAAACCACCCTGAAAATAAGCTATGGTGGGTTGGTTGCTGAATTGCTAACCTGTGATCAGATGTTCTGTGGTTTGCTGTGGCTTGTTTTCCCCTTAGTCCTCCTGTGTACTCCTGGCATGTATCCTGTGGACCTTTGCAGCTTAGCTTCAGCAGTCTGCTCTGCTCCTCCACTGAGTGGAAATGCACTCATTAGCACCATGAAGTTTATTTTGTAACTTTTTGCACCTTTAGTGAGATGTGCACATATTTAGCATTTTTTCTTTTGCACCTTTGGGCCGACAAATTTAATTTATTTAAACTTTTGGGGAGATCTGTGCAAATTTGCCAAAGCACATTAACAGAAGTTTCATTTGTTTAGTCTGTATAGCTTCTTAAAATTAGGTTTGGTGCTGGACTGTTCCAATGGATTGCTATATCCTTTGAAAGCATGAAAAGATAGGGTAAAAGTCTTTTCAGCAGCAGAGTCACTTGTACATTCTGTGAAGTTTGAGTGGGATGCAGGTAGGCAGAAGAGAGCTAGTTAAGCACATTTAAATATAGCCCCAAATAGCGGAGAGACAATACAATTACTACTGGAGATCAGGTCCCTAGTGCCTTCCTCCCACCCTACTCAGTTCAGTGATCTGGTTTGCACCATGGCCTTGCTTGTTTCAGGATGGCTTGCCATGATGTCTTAACATGGTGCCATTTCCTTTGCAGGGTTTTTTAGTGGTTCCAAGCCACCCAGAGGACACACTGCTTCTTGTTGGGTTCTTTAAGGGGGATTGTTTGCAGAGTGGCTTGTTGTAATGTCTAAACCCAGCACAATGTGGCGTGTCTGGAAGACCTATAGAGTGAGCTGGCAAGAAATGCAAAAAACCTGGTTGCTCCTCATAGTTTCAGTAATGATGTGTCTTTTCCATTATGTCTTGGAATGCACTAGTCAATTCACGTCTCCACTTTGTTGTCTCCCTAGACAGAGGCAGCTTTTTCCCACCCGCTCCACAGAGATTTGCTTATATTTAGCTTTTCTCTCACCTTTGGAGAAACACAAAGTTCTTTTACCTTGTGCCTTAGTATTGATCTGTGGCATAGTGATAATGACTGAGAGTTGACTGAGATGCGATTTGCTTATTATTATTTTAATGCCTGTTGCTTCTTTATTTCCTTCCTTATACATCTGCATGCATATGGGCCAGATGCCCCTATGGAGATCTGACAGCTTTCCATTCATCCCCTCAAATGGAGGCGATATCAATCCAGCTGATAAGCACTTGATCCTGGAATGTTGGCACCCCATTGGGCTGCCTAGTATGTTTCTATGGTTCTATAGTAAGCTATATATGGAATTGAAATCGACTTTCCACACTTGGGGAGGGGAGGTATAGTCTGTACATCCTGTTATGTTTCATCCACATGTGTGGGCATGGCATAGCAACACAGGTGAAGAAGGTGTGATTCTGAGCATGTCGTTTTCTATCCTTTTTAAAATTCGTTCTTGACTTTGTACTTTTGTATACTTAGGAACTAGTTTGTGATCATTTTCACAGCAGTTGGGTTATTGTTGTGTAAGAAGCATACGGAGAGTTAAATCCTATGCAACTCAATGGGCTATACTTAGAAACAGACTACTATAAAATTGCACTGTAAAAAGTTATTTAGCACAAAGT